TAATAATTTAAAATGTGTGAATTTATAGGTGTCTTAAAATGTTACCTAGAATAAATTGTAAACTGTTCAAATGTAAAAATTTAAAATGATTGAATTTATAGGTGTCTTAAAATGTTACCTAGATTAAATTGTAAATTGTTCAAATGTAATAATTTAAAATGTGTGAATTTATAGGTGTCTTAAAATGTTACCTAGAATAAATTGTAAATTGTTCAAATTTAAAAATTTAAAATGATTGAATTTGTGGGTGTCTTAAAATGTTACATAGAATAAATTGTAAATTGTTCAAATGTAAAAATTTAAAATGATTGAATTTGTGGGTGTCTTAAAATGTTACCTAGAATAAATTGTAAATTGTTCAAATGTAATAATTTAAAATGTGTGAATTTATATGTGTCTTAAAATGTTACCTAGAATAAATTGTAAATTGTTCAAATGTAATAATTTAAAATGTGTGAATTTATAGGTGTCTTAAAATGTTACCTAGAATAAATTGTAAACTGTTCAAATGTAAAAATTTAAAATGATTGAATTTATAGGTGTCTTAAAATGTTACCTAGAATAAATTGTAAACTGTTCAAATGTAAAAATTTAAAATGATTGAATTTATAGGTGTCTTAAAATGTTACCTAGAATAAATTGTAAATTGTTCAAATGTAAAAATTTAAAATGATTGAATTTATAGGTGTCTTAAAATGTTACCTAGAATAAATTGTAAATTGTTCAAATATAATAATTTAAAATGATTGAATTTATAGGTGTCTTAAAATGTTACCTAGAATAAATTGTAAATTGTTCAAATGTAAAAATTTAAAATTATTGAATTTATAGGTGTCTTAAAATGTTACCTAGAATAAATTGTAAATTGTTCAAATGTAAAAATTTAAAATGTGTGAATTTATAGGTGTCTTAAAATGTTACCTAGAATAAATTGTAATTTGTTCAAATGTAATAATTTAAAATGTGTGAATTTATAGGTGTCTTAAAATGTTACCTAGAATAAATTGTAAATTGTTCAAATGTAATAATTTAAAATGTGTGAATTTATAGGTGTCTTAAAATGTTACCTAGAATAAATTGTAAATTGTTCAAATGTAAAAATTTAAAATGATTGAATTTATAGGTGTCTTAAAATGTTACCTAGAATAAATTGTAAATTGTTCAAATGTAATAATTTAAAATGTGTGAATTTATAGGTGTCTTAAAATGTTACCTAGAATAAATTGTAAACTGTTCAAATGTAAAAATTTAAAATGATTGAATTTATAGGTGTCTTAAAATGTTACCTAGAATAAATTGTAAATTGTTCAAATGTAATAATTTAAAATGTGTGAATTTATAGGTGTCTTAAAATGTTACCTAGAATAAATTGTAAATTGTTCAAATGTAAAAATTTAAAATGATTGAATTTATAGGTGTCTTAAAATGTTACCTAGAATAAATTGTAAATTGTTCAAATGTAATAATTTAAAATGTGTGAATTTATAGGTGTCTTAAAATGTTACCTAGAATAAATTGTAAACTGTTCAAATGTAAAAATTTAAAATGATTGAATTTATAGGTGTCTTAAAATGTTACCTAGAATAAATTGTAAATTGTTCAAATGTAATAATTTAAAATGTGTGAATTTATAGGTGTCTTAAAATGTTACCTAGAATAAATTGTAAATTGTTCAAATGTAAAAATTTAAAATGATTGAATTTATAGGTGTCTTAAAATGTTACCTAGAATAAATTGTAAACTGTTCAAATGTAAAAATTTAAAAAGATTGAATTTATAGGTGTCTTAAAATGTTACCTAGAATAAATTGTAAATTGTTCAAATGTAATAATTTAAAATGTGTGAATTTATAGGTGTCTTAAAATGTTACCTAGAATAAATTGTAAATTGTTCAAATGTAATAATTTAAAATGTGTGAATTTATAGGTGTCTTAAAATGTTACCTAGAATAAATTGTAAATTGTTCAAATGTAAAAATTTAAAATGATTGAATTTATAGGTGTCTTAAAATGTTACCTAGAATAAATTGTAAACTGTTCAAATGTAAAAATTTAAAAAGATTGAATTTATAGGTGTCTTAAAATGTTACCTAGAATAAATTGTAAACTGTTCAAATGTAAAAATTTAAAATGATTGAATTTATAGGTGTCTTAAAATGTTACCTAGAATAAATTGTAAACTGTTCAAATGTAAAAATTTAAAATGATTGAATTTGTGGGTGTCTTAAAATGTTACATAGAATAAATTGTAAATTGTTCAAATGTAAAAATTTAAAATGATTGAATTTATAGGTGTCTTAAAATGTTACATAGAATAAATTGTAAATTGTTCAAATGTAAAAATTTAAAATGATTGAATTTGTGGGTGTCTTAAAATGTTACCTAGAATAAATTGTAAATTGTTCAAATGTAATAATTTAAAATGTGTGAATTTATATGTGTCTTAAAATGTTACCTAGAATAAATTGTAAATTGTTCAAATGTAATAATTTAAAATGTGTGAATTTATAGGTGTCTTAAAATGTTACCTAGAATAAATTGTAAACTGTTCAAATGTAAAAATTTAAAATGATTGAATTTATAGGTGTCTTAAAATGTTACCTAGAATAAATTGTAAACTGTTCAAATGTAAAAATTTAAAATGTGTGAATTTATAGGTGTCTTAAAATGTAACCTAGAATAAATTGTAAACTGTTCAAATGTAAAAATTTAAAATGATTGAATTTATAGGTGTCTTAAAATGTTACCTAGAATAAATTGTAAATTGTTCAAATGTAATAATTTAAAATGTGTGAATTTATAGGTGTCTTAAAATGTTACCTAGAATAAATTGTAAACTGTTCAAATGTAAAAATTTAAAATGTGTGAATTTATAGGTGTCTTAAAATGTTACCTAGAATAAATTGTAAACTGTTCAAATGTAAAAATTTAAAATGTGTGAATTTATAGGTGTCTTAAAATGTTACCTAGAATAAATTGTAAACTGTTCAAATGTAAAAATTTAAAATGATTGAATTTATAGGTGTCTTAAAATGTTACCTAGAATAAATTGTAAATTGTTCAAATGTAAAAATTTAAAATGATTGAATTTATAGGTGTCTTAAAATGTTACCTAGAATAAATTGTATATTGTTCAAATGTAAAAATTTAAAATGATTGAATTTATAGGTGTCTTAAAATGTTACCTAGAATAAATTGTAAATTGTTCAAATATAATAATTTAAAATGATTGAATTTATAGGTGTCTTAAAATGTTACCTAGAATAAATTGTAAATTGTTCAAATGTAAAAATTTAAAATTATTGAATTTATAGGTGTCTTAAAATGTTACCTAGAATAAATTGTAAATTGTTCAAATGTAAAAATTTAAAATGATTGAATTTATAGGTGTCTTAAAATGTTGCCTAGAATAAATTGTAAATTGTTCAAATGTAAAAATTTAAAATTATTGAATTTATAGGTGTCTTAAAATGTTACCTAGAATAAATTGTAAATTGTTCAAATGTAAAAATTTAAAATGTGTGAATTTATAGGTGTCTTAAAATGTTACCTAGAATAAATTGTAAACTGTTCAAATGTAAAAATTTAAAATGTGTGAATTTATAGGTGTCTTAAAATGTTACCTAGAATAAATTGTAAACTGTTCAAATGTAAAAATTTAAAATGATTGAATTTATAGGTGTCTTAAAATGTTACCTAGAATAAATTGTAAATTGTTCAAATGTAAAAATTTAAAATGATTGAATTTATAGGTGTCTTAAAATGTTACCTAGAATAAATTGTAAATTGTTCAAATATAATAATTTAAAATGATTGAATTTATAGGTGTCTTAAAATGTTACCTAGAATAAATTGTAAATTGTTCAAATGTAAAAATTTAAAATTATTGAATTTATAGGTGTCTTAAAATGTTACCTAGAATAAATTGTAAATTGTTCAAATGTAAAAATTTAAAATGATTGAATTTATAGGTGTCTTAAAATGTTACCTAGAATAAATTGTAAATTGTTCAAATGTAAAAATTTAAAATTATTGAATTTATAGGTGTCTTAAAATGTTACCTAGAATAAATTGTATATTGTTCAAATGTAAAAATTTAAAATGATTGAATTTATAGGTGTCTTAAAATGTTACCTAGAATAAATTGTAAATTGTTCAAATATAATAATTTAAAATGATTGAATTTATAGGTGTCTTAAAATGTTACCTAGAATAAATTGTAAATTGTTCAAATGTAAAAATTTAAAATTATTGAATTTATAGGTGTCTTAAAATGTTACCTAGAATAAATTGTAAATTGTTCAAATGTAAAAATTTAAAATGATTGAATTTATAGGTGTCTTAAAATGTTACCTAGAATAAATTGTAAATTGTTCAAATGTAAAAATTTAAAATGATTGAATTTATAGGTGTCTTAAAATGTTACCTAGAATAAATTGTAAATTGTTCAAATGTAAAAATTTAAAATTATTGAATTTATAGGTGTCTTAAAATGTTACCTAGAATAAATTGTAAATTGTTCAAATGTAAAAATTTAAAATGATTGAATTTATAGGTGTCTTAAAATGTTACCTAGAATAAATTGTAAATTGTTCAAATGTAAAAATTTAAAATTATTGAATTTATAGGTGTCTTAAAATGTTACCTAGAATAAATTGTATATTGTTCAAATTGCTTACATGACTGTGAATATGAATAAATAAAAAAAATCAGTCAATAAAAAACAGTTGACTTTTACTGATTATAGTTTCTTACTGTTAGTCATCCAAACAATATCCATATCGTACACAAATTCACTATTATTGCGATTAAAAATTAAGTTTATATTAAGTTATTTAATATTAAATATTTAAAATTATTATATTTTATTGAAAACACTTCAAGTTCTCAAATAAAACATTTTATAACAAAATTTTTTGTACGTTATTTATATTTAGTTTAAAATACCTTATTATTAATAATATTTATTTATTGCATTCAATGTATTATTTTTTTAATAGTTTAAAGTTTTAACAAACACTGTATTGTATTCCTATATATCATATGATTTGTTTGATATTTTTATTGTCAATTGTTTTGGCAATTAGTGTACAAAAAACACATCACTTTTACAAACAATCATTCATTTAGTTTCAGTAAAATCATAATTTGATTGAATTGTTTGCCAAACAATATGTGGTTTTACTTATTATTCGTTGTCTTCATTATAATCATTGGATTAATATTAAGACATTTAACATCAAACAAGAGACTTGATTTGCGCGACAAACACGTGTTAATAACGGGCGGCACTAAAGGTATTGGATATTCTCTGGCCGTATTGGCCATTGAAAGCGGTGCCAATGTATCGGTGATTGCACGCAATGTGGACGACCTCGAGAACACTAAAATGTCTTTACTTAAGAAGTGCAACACCGATGCCAAACAAAAGGTTATGACCTTTTCTTTGGACGTGACCTCAGATATATACGATATGGAGCGGATGATTACCGAAGCCGAATCGGTCAGTGGACCGATAAATATGTTGATGTGTTGCGCGGGAACGGCAGTCAGTATGCGTTTCGATGAAACTCCTGTTGAAGAGTTCCGTCGAATGGTTGATATTAACTATTTGGGAACTGTTAGTGTAATCAAAGCATGTCTACCGTCGATGAAGACCGCGGGCGGCGGTAATATTGTACTCTTTTCATCCATTGCCGGAATCTTTGGTCTCTACGGGTTTGGTGCGTATTCACCGACAAAGTTTGCTATCGTCGGCTTAGCCCAAGTGTTAGCTATGGAGGTAATTGTTTACAAATTTGTTTATTTATTAACTTATTTTATGTTTTCTTTTAGTTAAAGTCACATAACATATCGGTTACCGTTTCCTATCCGCCGGACACTGACACTCCTGGCTTTGCAAACGAACAAATCAATAAAGTATTGAACAAATTTGTGTGCAATTGATAGCCATTTAAGTAATTTTTTTAAAATTATTATTTAAAAGCCAATTGAGACTAAACTTATATCAGATTCTGGCGGACTATACTCTCCCGATATTGTGGCCAAACATACATTAACCGATGCTCTCGTAATTAGCTCAATAAGTCAATTATTATATATAAAACTTAAATTTTTTTTATGTCCAAAGTCTGGCAAATTTCACTCAACAGTCGGTTTTGAGAGTTGGATGGTTAGGACGTTGTGCTGTGGTATGAGTCCATTCACATCAACTATTGAAGTCATTCTTCAGGTTCTAACAATGGGTTTGTTCCGAATCGTTGGAATTATATTTTTGGCAAAATGTGATTCAATTATCAAGAAATGCACTCAAGAGAAACAAATTAACAAAAAGTGTGATTAAAATCTCAATATTTTTTAAATAAAGCATTTTTGTGTTTTTTTGTGTCTAATATTTGTTAAATAATGATATATATTGTAATCACAATATTTTTTAATAAGAAATATTGTTTATAATTTAATGAATCTTTTTTTGTAAGTTTGAAAGAAAATTTGCTTAATTTTATAAATTTTAATTACCGGTAATTAAATGGGTATTTGAAATAACATATTTACAAAAAAGTTCATCGATAAGTGCAGTAATTTTTATTAATTTAGTATTTATTTAATGAATTGATTTCATAGCTTTTATCGATGAACTAAAAGCGCGCAACAAATGTGTGAATTAAAAAAAATAACATTTAATCAGTCATTTGAATGCTTTTTAGGAGTATTAAATAAATTATAGTTTAATATTTTTACTCATGACTTAGTATTAATGAAACTAATTTTTATTTTGGTAATAAAACTTATTTTATTGTCAAATATTGATGAAACTAATTTTTTTTCATAAATTGTGATTTGAAATCTGCATAATAATTAAATCGATAATTAAATGATTATTAAATTACGTGAACACACTATTTAATAGTGACTATTGTTTAGCAATGTTTGTGTCAAATAATAATTATACAAAACAATTGAAAACTTATATTATTTAGTACTGTAATACAGTATAACTTCACTCATCATTGAATCACATAATTAAGTAATAATTGTTATTTAATAAAATAAAAACTTTCAATAATATTCAGCCATAAAAGTGAAGTCAATTTGCGTGGAAAGGGATCTCTTAAAAAAATAATTCTAATTTTTATTATAATCTAAAACTTTTTTTTAGTTAAATAAAAACCTGTAATAACTAACTATTTTTATGATTTATGTGACATTAATACTATAATACGGTGTTTACGTAAAATCGATTAACACATAAAAAACATGTGTAATACAATTGGTCATTAAATTTAATTATTGATATTTATTTTATTTTATATAAAAGTATTTGAATGGTGTTATAGTCACTATAATCACAACAACTGTATTATTAATATAGTATTATTTGTTTGAATACTACAGTACTCCTACTTTACTGTCAAATGCTAATACAGTATTGCTATTAATATTAAATATCCTTTAATACTGTATTTACTGTGAAATTGTGAGCACAAGTAGGTGTTAGTTGACGTCACACACATATAAACACATACATACATACAGTGAGTGTTAAGCAATTATCATTTAGTGGTAATACTACTGTATATATGTATTGTAACAGTTGTTTGCATCACTCGATGGACAGACTCTTTTAAGACAGTCTTATACTATGTAAAGGAGTGACTGTTTTGTCGATGACTTTGTTTTTTACTGACATATGTGTCGATAACTATAGTATCAGTGATTCATAACAAGTGATGAGACAATCGGTATTGACTTATAGTTAACACAACTATTGATTGATTAAAATATTATTATTATTATAATTCAATGTATTATTTGTCAACAAAATGACTGAAAACTCAATTTTTATTAGATTTTTAATCGTTTTTTGTTTATATTAGTTAATAATAATAATTATTATTAATTATTACATATATATTAGTAATAATTAATGAAATATTAGTTAAAATATTGTTGAGTTTCAATGGCTTTTCAATTATCATTCTTCGCGACCATTGTTTGCCATAATAGATATGTCTGTGATTTGTTGTCCTCCTCTTCTTCATCATTTCTTCTCTCATTATCACTACTCAAGACATTGACTTCATTTTATTCACTGTTATATGTGTTGATCATATTGTCTTCAGTGATGATCATTCCCGCCAAATGTGATAATACTGTTAACGATAAGGTCTTCACCAACGAGTTTGCTGTTTGTCTTCAACCGGACAAATGCGACGACTCTACGGCCGAGTCGTTGGCCAATCGACACGGCTTTCATTCAGTCGGAAAGGTATTTGATTTGATATATCATAAAATATAATGTTATGATTTGACCAATTGATTGTTACCAAACATTTAGATCGGATCCATGGATTGTCATTATTTATTGAAACACAATCACATCTCGAAGAGATCAACCGATTATTCGCATTCACACCATTCACGACTCAGTCAAGACAATGATGTGAGTCTTTAGCCATTATTTGTAAACCATTGTCTTCGTTATCATTGAATATGATATCATAATTAATATACAGGTGTTTGTGTCAAACATTTGCTAACATTTTTCAAACATTAATACAGTATAACTCAGTATTTGCTTTTGTATTGTAAAGTTATGCAAACATATGTCATATAATTGACAGATGCAATAGTTTTATAGTGTATATAACTTATTGAATTATAATAGTTTTATAAATTTTATTTATTAACCATAATTTAGTTTGTTTTTAATTGTTTTGTATTAATGTTTTTATATCTATTCTTTAATATATATTTATATTATTATTATTTATATATTATTAATTTGCTTATAAATTGCTAATTGCTAAATAGTAAATTTGTTAATTGGTATTTATTTGTATGCATGTTTTTTAATTTACATATACATTATATTTATTATCTATTGATTAATATTTTATGACATTTTATAATCAATGGACAGGTCTTATGGGTAGAACAACAACATGTGAAGTCTCGTGTCAAGAGAGATAACCCCAATACTAACTACAGGTTCTCAACTAAGTCTCCAATGCCAGACCCTCTCTATAAAGATATGTGGTATTTGGTGAGTATAGTTGATGACAACCATAATACATGTATTTAGTCATAACTAGAGAGAGAGAGAGAGAGAGAGAGAGAGAGAGAGAGAGCCGATGGATATGTGTTCTTGACGTTCATTACCACTCTTTGTTTATAAGAGCTGTTTGTCTCTCTTATCAGTCATTTTTCATTGAATAGTTTGTCACATAATTTATCAAATTATTATTATTATTATTATTATTATTGAGCTCATATGTTTTCCCAAAAATAATTTTGATTAATGAAATTAATACTAATAAATACATTAGTTATAAAATTTTCTTATATATTTAAGTGACGATTGCTATCATTTAAAATATATATATATATATATACACTATAATGTATTATAGATTTTAAAAAGTTTAGTATACACTGTAGATCGATAGTTTTAATTATGTTTATTACTATTTACTTAGAATTTTGTTTTTTTTTGTTTGACATTTTAGATTAGTATGTTTTAATATAACGGTAATTTAAATCTAATTATAAACATGAAAATTAGTTGATAAATAAATTTCCCGTAATCTTAACGGTTAATTAGTGCATTACGTGATGGTTTATTTATATTATAATTTTTAGAAAAAACTAATTAATATTTTTGTTAATTTAATTAACATTATCTTATTGTTTCCAATGAGTTAATCTGTGAAGAGACTCACAAAAGCCTATAAATTTAAAATTATTGACTTTTTTCAAGCAAATCATTTTGTAGTGACATTGTATTTGTAGAGTAATTGTAAAAACATGAAAATCAAGAAAATAAGTAATTATAGACTATTCATATCTTTATTTTTTTGTTGAAAAAAGTAAATTTTATTTAAACATATATTTGTGACAACTTTTTTTATATTAGAGATTTCACTGATTTAAAATTAAATTCAGGTCAAATCAATTGTGAATTTTATTCAAATAAAAAACTAAATAAAAATAATTTCCTTAAATGTGCGATAATAAGTTATATAAAATGTGCTTAATATGTGAAAATTAAATTTACTTTAGTATATTATATGCTTAATTAACACTTATTTTGTTATATAGTTTATTGATATGAATTTAATTAATTAACAATATATACGGTACTGTATACTTTATATATAATTTATATATAATTTATATATATATATAGATTATCAAATCAAGGTTTTTTTATTAAGAAAAACTTTGAATGACATTTTCTTCAAATTTTATTTAATTATGATTATTATTAATGTTATTTTTTTGATAATTCATCAGAAATTTATTAAAATTATAAAACTAACTGATGAATGATAAGAGTCAACTCTTTTTTTCTGTTAATTTTAAGAAATCGCATCACATTTTTCTTAATCGCAATTTTATTTCCTGTATTTTTTCTGTTCATTAATCAATTTTTCAAAAAATAAATAATTTATTCAATTTAATGTGAATTTTGCAGAATAAAGGAGCACTTGGAGGATACGATATGAATGTGAAGGGCGCCTGGAATATGTATGTATACCTTGTTTTATTGAGAGAGAGAGAGAGAGAGAGAGAGAGAGAGAGAGAGAGAGAGAGAGGAATACCCAGGATTTACCACATATTCAAAGAAATAATTACATTAATGATAATAAAAAAAATTTGATTACAACTTTGAAACTCAATCTGTGAATCCCCTCCTCTGCCAATCTTTCTATAACTCAGCATAACTTGTTGTGTAACTCGTTTTCCCCCCACATTAATGATGATTGTCTCTTAAATGTTTGCCCCCAGGGGTTACACCGGTAGGGGTATTGTTGTGACAATTCTGGACGATGGCATTCAACCAAATCATCCCGATTTAGTCAGTAATTATGTGAGTTTGAAATGATTTTTTTTTTTTTGAAGAGATTTTTAGATTATTAAGTGATTAATAAATTATTATATATATATCTGCATCTGTTGTCAGGACCCTCAAGCCAGCTATGATATCAATGATAACGATCCGGATCCGACTCCCCAAGACAATGGTGACAACAAGTGAGACATTTGATTTATTAGTTACGTATCAAAAGAATTGCTTCTAATTTTTGCTACCATCTCCTACCCTTCCCCATAAAGACATGGCACCCGATGCGCTGGTGAAGTGGCAGCACAGGCATATAATGGTAAGGCCATTAATTGGCATATTTTTGTAAAACAACGTATTAAATTAAATTATAAATTATAAAGAGTACTGTGGTGTTGGCATTGCATTTAATGCTAGCATTGGCGGCGTTCGTATGTTAGATGGCACAGGTATGTCATTAAATAAAATTTTATTGATATTGAATTATATGTTAAAAACACTGAAAATTACATTTATAGTCACTGATGAAGTGGAGGCCCGAGCTTTGAGTTTGAATCCAAATCATATTGATATATATTCAGCCTCCTGGGGTCCAGAAGATGATGGAAAAACAGTGGACGGACCCGGAAGACTAGCACAGAGAGGTTGGTATCAATTTTAAGAATGTTTATTGTGTTTTTTAAATTAACAAAACTTATAAATTATTAATTATTTTAGCCTTTATTGATGGCATACGAAAGGGACGTCACGGACGTGGATCTGTATTTATATGGGCCTCAGGTTTAGTGCTATTTTCATCCACTCATACCTAAGAATTATTTACAATTTTTAAAAATTGTTTGATATTAGGAAATGGAGGTCGACGTCTAGATAGCTGTAATTGTGATGGATATACCAATTCAATATATACTCTATCAATAAGCAGTGCCACTCAAAATGGTGAAAAGCCATGGTATCTGGAAGAAGTGAGTTATTATTAAATATATTTATTTTAATTTAAATAACATTTGTGTAATCCATTTTGTTTGTTTTAAGTGTTCATCCACTTTAGCGACAACTTATAGCAGTGGAACGCCTGGACGTGACGACAATGTTTTAAGTGTAGATCAGGACACGACTTATTTCAAAAGTCTAGAGAGTGGCGGAACTGTGGATACGTCGCGTTTGTGCACTCGTTCACATACTGGCACTTCAGCTTCAGCACCAATTGGTTTGTCATCAGTAAAATATGTTTTTTTCTTCACTCAATTACTCCAAACTTATATTATTTATTTTTTATTTATCAATTGCATACAAAAGCTGCAGCAATAGTGGCGCTGGCACTTGAAGCCAACCCAACACTTACGTGGAGAGATTTACAGCATTTAGTTATGCTGTCGTCCCGTTACGAACCGTTACGCCACGAAAGCGGTTGGCTTACGAATGGTGTCGGCCGAAGAGTTAGCCATAAGTTTGGTTACGGACTGATCGACGCAACACAAATGGTTCGTTTTGCCGAAACCTGGACACCAATACCTGCTCAACGAATATGCGAATCTCATACAGAAGATCGAGAACAGGAAATACCGGCGCATCCGAAGCGTCATCTAGAAGTAACACTGAATACCGATGCTTGTAAAGACTCTTCGAGTGAAATAAAATATTTAGAGCACATCCAGGCAAAGATTACACTCAAATACAAACCACGCGGTAGTCTCAAGATATCTCTGGTCTCTCCGTCGGGAACTATCACTCATCTACTCTTTGCTCGACCTCGAGATACCGATGAGTCTACATTTACCAATTGGCCGTTTCTTTCGGTACACTTTTGGGGTGAGCCGGCATACGGCAAGTGGAAGTTGATTATTCAAAATGATAGCCGTAATCCTGCTCGACTTCCCGGTAAATTGATATCATGGTCACTCACATTTCACGGCACATATGAACGACCCGCTAGTTTTCACTTTACGCCCAACCAGACTATCCATTATCTGCCTCGAAGTGCAGCAATTGATAAAATGAGTGAGTGCTTCAAACAGAATATGTTTCAGGCCTTAGATTCAACCGATTGTCTTAAACAATGTCCACCCGGACAATGGCCTAATCATCAGTTAGCTATCTGTGAAAAATGTAGTTCCGAGTGCCAGACTTGTTTTGGACCGGCCGGTGATAATTGTCTTTCGTGTCCTCAAAACAAGACATTCTTTGGATATCATTGTGTTAAACAATGTCCCGATAAATACTATAACGATGTAAAGCTCAATGAATGTCTTCCGTGTCTATCGAACTGTGAAACATGTGATTTATCACCAAATCATTGCACTTCTTGTAAAAAATCATTACTTCTTAACGATGATCACAGATGTGTTCTCAAATGTGATTCTTCTAACGACTCTAAATGTCTTAAGTGTCATAATACTTGTGCCTCATGTTATGGAACTGCTGACAATCAATGTCTTTCATGTTCTACTGGTAAAAGACTATTGAATGGTGTCTGTACTGACCAGAAATGTCCGCAAATGTTTTACGAAGAATCTAACAGCGATGGACTTCAATGTCAAAGGTTTAATCCATTCTTATATAAATCAATTAACAATATTTTTAATGATTTATCTTATTTTTTCAGATGTCATAACACTTGTAATGACTGTACGGGTTCGGCACATAACGACTGTATCTCCTGTTTCGCAAACGAAACCCTAACAGAGTATGGCTTATGTCTTAGTTGTTTGAGCGGTCAGTTCCTAAATATCAAGACATCAAAGTGCGAGTCGTGTCACGTGAGTTGTTCCGCTTGTACCGGTCCGACAGCAACAGATTGTGTCGACTGTAGAACTCCCTATGCTTTAGACAACTCACGATGTGTTCCCTGTTGTCCGGTAACTGTCAACGATATCAATGGAATTGCCGAAGATATGGACAATTGTTGTCACTGTTTGTCCGATACGGGTATTTGTTCGATAGTTGCTATCGACAGAACCAGAAGTGTGTCTCAAGAGTCTGACTCGTGGTTAGGGAAGCAAATGAATGGAAATAATTCCCACAGACTTTTCGAAAATCCTATTACTGTTGTTGTGGTTATATGTTTGTCCGCTTTGTTTGTATTTGTTATCGTATTCTCTATTCTTCAATACACAACTCGTTCCCAAAGAAGAGACATCAAAATGAATGAATATCAGAAAGTGTCGACAAGTTTTGAAAAGATGTCTGAAGTAATTGGCGACGACTATGAAGAGGAAGAAAGCCTTTTCGAGAAGACCTAGTCTTAGATTATCTTTTTAATTAATTTTTAAAAAAATATAATATTTATGTTTTTAATAAATTTTTTTATATATATATAATTAATTATATTTAGATATTTAAAAAAGTAATAAAGAATTATCTTTTTTATTGATTACTTTTCATCATTGTATGTGTCTGTCAGTGTGTCAGTGTGTATGCTAAGTGAACATGTAGTCCAATCATCACTTTTTTCCTCTCAGAGCACAGTTAGTTCAATTTGACTGAATCTCACAATTTTATTGATCGAAACACAATCTCTCAGTTGTTTCTCATAAAAGCCAAGCCATAAGTTCACAAAGCATTTAGAAAACACTGTTTCGTATCGTTTGTATTGTGTGTGTGTTAGTCGAGAGTTGATTCACACAACAGAAGAATATCTATATATATATTCAATATTTATATTATGCTATAATATGAACGACCAAAAGCATTGCCACAAATATTTTGGTCCAAACGGTTGTGTTGTTGTTGTTGTTCAATATGGGTGATAGTATCGGCAGTTCAATGAGTGACAAATTTAAACGGTTGTCCTTAACATCGAGCAGAGCTCAAGAGTCGGACATTATGTCCGTACAATTGAGCCAACAGTTCACCAAAAGTATGTAATTTAAAAATAAAGAATTTTATTATTTTTCTATATATTTAAATAAATACCATATTATTTGAAGGTGTAGTCAATTTTTGTGTTGTTTGACATAATTATCATTGGTTTTAATCATCAAATTTATTCTAACATTTGGTTCTAACAATAGAGTCCTTTAGAGAAAAAAATCTATTCATAGTCTGTGTCTATCAATAATTGATAGAGTTTTTCAATTAATTTTGAAATTAATGTCATCTAATTTAATAGAGTACAACATTTTTAAATATATATATATATATTTATTTATTATACCTATAATATAATATATAATGATTTTTATTTATTTATTATATTTATATATTCAGTACCCGTACGGCCGGAGCTGTTGCTGCACGAGTCTGCCATCAAAAACGATGTCCATACCTGCAAAAAACTTATTGAAGCCAAAGTGGATATCAATAGCAAAACTCATGTATGAGAAAAAAATGTTTTTAATTGTCAATTGATTGATTTGACTATTAATTAAAAATTGGTAACTGTTTTTTATATATTTTTTTAGATGGAAAGGACGCCAATTCATTGGGCTATTTGTCATCAAAATGTAGACATTGTATTATTATTACTTCAAGCAAATTGTGATATCGAGGCATTTGATAAGGCATGTACTTAAACAATATTTTAGTACTACTACTGTATAGTATATTTATACACTTACCTGTATAATATACAGTGTATATATATTTAGCTAACATTGAATTACTAAAAATAACTGTTTTATCTAAAATAGTTTCTAAAAATTTTTATATTATTTTATATTTGTTTTTGTTTTTGTTGATAACACATTTATTAAGTTATATGTTATAATCAATGAAATTTTATTATTAATAATTGATTTTTTAAAATAGATTTGCAATGTGTAGAATATTCTATAAATTATGTCATAGATTTGATATTAATATAGATTCTATATATATATGTATACATATATGTAGAAATTATATTTAGAAAATCGAGTAGGCGTTTAATGTAAAAAGGTCAATGTTGCGTTAAATTACTATTATTTGTTTTAAACTATATATAATTTTATTTGTATTATATATTATTTATTAATTCACTTATTTGAATACATATTTTTATTTTATACTAATTAGATTTAATAAAAAAAAATTAACAAAAAAAAATATATACAGAATATTCTTATACGTTATTATACATAATATTAATAATATAATGTATTTTCAGAAAAATAGAATATTGAATATAAAGTATATATAAATTTATATAAAATAATTGATTTTACACATCAATAGCTCGGTATGAGACCTGTGATGATGGCCGCAATGGTTGGCAATAATCAAATTGTTGAACTATTAGTTAAAACTGGATGCAATTGTAGGGTTGTGAATAAAGTAATTATATAATGCATAAACATTTTAATTATTAAATTTTATTTTTTTAAAAAAAAGTTTTATTTTTCAATTTTAATATATAAATTTATTTATAGAAAGATTATACTGTACTCCACTGTGCCGTAAAACATGATCAGTCAGAGATTGTCATGTATTTACTCGACAATGTTAAGGATCTGGATATCAATGCAATCGATAAAGTAGTGAGATTTTTATTTAACCAACAAATATATTTATAATATATAATTTTTTTTGGGCTAACAATTTGGTTAATACAACAAACTAACAGTTAGGTCAAACTAGGTAATTATATTATCAAATGATTTTTTTCGAACAACAAAAAAAATAATAAATTATAAATTGATATTTAAATTTAAAATTTTCAAAATTTACTGTTAATTAGTTTACATATGGCATCGATTAATAACAATCTGGAAGTCGTCGACAAATTAATATCATGCGGTGCTGATCTCAATATCAAAGATAAAGTAATTTAATATATTATTATTAGTATTAGTATTATTTTTAAAAACCACAAATTTAAATGAATCAATCAATTAATGATTTTTTTTTGTTTTTTTTCTTATATATGTTAATCCATAGCAAGGCAGACATGCAGGACATTGGGCCGCCTTTAAAGGACACGACGAAGTGCTCACCGCTCTTATCAAGTCTGGCATCGAAATCGATGATAGAGATGACGACGGAAAGACAGGTATGACTCTGAACCCCAGTATCTCAATGCCAGTCATAGCATACCATATCCATGACTTGACATTTTCTAGTTTCAGATCATTTATTTTTATTGTTATTTCATTACTGTTTAACTATTTATGATTTAAGTAAATATATATATATATATATGATATATACATTGTATATCGTATACTGTATTTTCATCATAACATTTGACTGTTTCCATATAAATATATACAGTATTTATATAATAATAAAAATTGTAGCAATATTTATAAATATTTTAACAAATCTCTATATATATATATACTGTATGTTTTCAATTATATTGTCGATTATAATAACTTTGCTATCAGTTGAAACCCATATTAAAAGAATGTATTCAAGTACTAACAATATTAAATGAAAGCAAAAAAATTGATTGTTTAAAATTTTATCACATAATGCAATAAAACTGAAATCGTCATTTATATTATTATTATTATTATTATCATAAGATAAACATAATGATAGTGGTTAGCAATTTTCCTCTAAACTATATATTAAATTATTTATATATGAAGTTTATTTCAAATTCATATAAATTAAAACATTAAAATAATTATTTATTTATTTAATATGAAATTCTGTTTTTAATAAAGCATTGCATTTGGCGGCAGAGTATGGTTTTAGAGATGCCTCACAAACATTAATACAACATAACTGTGATATTTTTGCAACCGATTCTGTAAGTACTGGGATTATAATATAATTTAAAATTTCTATTATTTTGTTATAAAATAATATCAAATTAAATTATATAAAAACAAGTATCTGTGAGCACTTAAATATTTATCATTTAAAAAATTATATAATTGATAAATTAATTTTATTTGTTATTAATTCAATTATATAAAATTTGTTATTTTAGCTAATTAAAAAAATGTTAATTTAGAAATATAATAATTGCATTAATTAGATTATCATAAAAAGTCAACATTTTTATTATTTACTAATTTGTAATTATTTATTCAATAGTAATGTAGATTATATATAAAAATATATATTCTTTATCTTTTGTAACTTTAGTATATAATATAAGCAAACGATAATAATATCCCTTTAAATTATACTAAGAAATATTAAGCCATTTGGGTTATATAAGACTTATCATGCGATTATGATTAGTGTAATATAATCATTGTTATGTAACACTGTATTTGTTATATAATACAGTATAGTCTTTATATATGAATAAATATATAGCTTATATTATATATATATTTACTTATTAGTGAAGTAGAATTTTTATGCAAAATAATTGCAAAGTAATATTATATCAAATTAAATTATTTACATTATACCATATATACATTGTATAATCTCATATATAAATATAAATTTATATAACTAACAAATAAATATTAATATAATTAAATAGAAGGGACGGTCAGCTCTGATGATTGCCTCAGCCCTGGGCTATGTTGATGTTGTGGCACTATTAGTATCATACGGTGCTGTTCTCAACAGTAAAGACAAGAACGGAAATACTGGTATGAATTATAGTCTTTAAAAATGCAATTATAAGTGAATCTATAGAAACCATTATTATACCGAAATAGCCCTTCATTTATGTGTTTTGGGAAATCATGTTAAGTGAGTTCAAAACTGTTATTTTTTCACATATCTATTATGTTTTTTTTGCCAACAATTACTTTATATATACTTTAGTACTATTTCTTTATTCAAAAATATATTGTATATGATATATCACTTTTTATTAACAATTTTACTATCAATTCAATTCAGTTACTTTCAGTTACTCTCTCTCTCTCTCTCTCTCTCTCTCTCTCTCTCTCTCTCTCTCTCTCTTTCATTCTCTCTCTTTCTGTTTGTGTGAAACACCATATAATACAATTTAGTGTAATATTACTTATTCATATCGTATAATTGATTCAGAATCTTGAAAAAAATATTTATTATGCAAATCTAATTAAAACATTCAAATAAATTTATTATTGATAAGTTAATTAATTTAATATTAAATACAGATATATATTTTTAACTTTAATAAAATAAAATTAAAAATTATGCATATTTTTATTTGTCAAATATGAGCAGAACCAATATTATATATATATTATTTGTTGATTAAACAAACTATTTATTTTTTAAAAAATACAAAAGGTATTAATAAAATCTAATAATTTAATTTCTAAAACAAGTTTAATATAATTTGAAAGTTTCTAGGTATAAAATAATACAGTAGATATACAGTATTGTATTAATAATAAATTGTATTTATTATACTGCAGATGATATAGCAATTGCATGATTATGTTTAATTAATTTTACAATAATTATTGTTATATTGAAGACTATATGAAAAATTATGAACTATTAATAATAATGATAATAATGATAATTTATGATAGGATGACACAGTTTCTCATCGATAAAGGAGCTCAAATCAATTCACTAAACAATGTATGTGTGCTTTCATTTGTTAACTATTATTAATATATTTGATTAAACTTTTTGTGTGGTTTTATCATTTGCAATAAACTTACAAATAGTATTGTATTTTAGTATAATATAAGCATTAAAATGCAGTCATTATTCACTTTATCTTTATTAATGTTCATGAATTTGGAAAATTAATATTATTTGCTTAATATTATTTTTTTATACAGTACTATATGTTCATAATTATAATAAATGCTGCAATATATTTGCTAGTATTACTTAAAATGATTTATTATGGTTAAAGAATTTGTAATACTTTTAATATTAATAATTATTTTAAAAAATATATAATTTTCATGTATTTTAAAATCGATAGTCAAAATCTGAAAAATAATTTTATAGTATATTTATAATGTTAACTAAAATTTGTTAAAGCATTCATTTATCAATAATTAGGATTAAATAGTTTTTTTAATTAATATATATATAACATATATATAATGTGTAATTATAATTGATTAATTTAAATCCTGAATAAATTTATATACATTTGAATACAGAGATTGCAGACACCATTAGTGGTGGCGGCAGAGATCGGTCACACAGAAGTGGCCGAAATATTAATCAAAAACGGTGCGGATCTCGACGTCCAGGAAAAGGTGTCAAAACAAATTGTTAACAAAATATTTATTATTAAATTTATGCCAACTATTAATCAAACAAAATAAAACATAATTATGTTTTGATTAAACAGAGCGGAAGGACTGCATTATATGTGGCGTCGAGAGGAAGCTTTCAGGCGATCGTCGATATGCTTATTAAAGCCGAAAGAGAAAAGTTTTTCAAACTAAACCAAAAACCGCATCAATCGGGCAATCAATGCAACGATCGGCTCAACAATTGTCGAAAAGAGACCTTTGATTCCGACGATTGTACTGATATCGACTCAAACCATTGCGGACACGAAATCAATCACAACATATCATTGAATCAGTTCAAGAAAATCCTTTGGAATCTATCGCGCAATCACTTAGAAGTTAATGACTGGAAACGGTTGGCCAAGATTTGGGATTTTACTGAGGATCAGATGAAAGGTATAATTATTATTGTTGAAGAAATAATAACTTCATCACTAATCACAATAATTATTACAATTATTTTTTTATTGTTATTGTTGTCTATTTAAAAAGCTATTGAACATCAATACACTGGAAAGACTAGTTATAAGGATCATTGCTATCGGATGATGGTTATATGGTTGCACAGTCTACCGGCCTCTAAGAACCCGCTCCATGAGCTCTATGACGCTCTATGCGCTATCAACAGGAGAGAAGTGGCCGGTAAGTGCTATCAAATTTAAGTTTTTAATTATATTATTTATAAATGTTATCTCATTTTTTTCTTGTCGTCAGAAAAAGTACGAAAGAAAGCCGAAGAGGGAAACATTTTTCGGTCGCAACGGTTCGGGTGTCACTGTTTGCCGGGAATGCCGGCCAATCTGTGCCATTATTGTTGCATATCTTAACACTCCATTTATACAATATTTGACAATTTGTTGTTTTTTCCAATAATATTTACTAATATTTATAATATTTAATTAAAATTATATATATATATTAACTGTTTCCTATTTTTAAAAATATAATTCAATTGATTTATTTTTTATAATAAAAGTTGTTTCAAATTAATGATATTTTATTATTAAAATAATTAAGTTCAACAAATTAATCTAATTTATATAATTATTAATAATACTATAATAATGAATATACAGTATATACATAGTTATGTATATATATATAGTTATTTTAGTAATTATTATAATATTGCATTAAACATAAGATTATATAATAGTTATTTAAAAATATATATATATATAATATTTTAACTACTTTCCAATTTGTAAGTATGATAATTATGATAACACATTTTAAAATTATTAATTTAATTAACTAAACAAACAATAAAAAGCAATAATCTTATCTGTCTAAAGCATTTTAATTTGTGACAATAAAAGCATAACAAAAAAAAATTTAATCTAAATTAAAATAAATATAAAGAAAATTATAATAAATATTGTTTAAAAATAACTTTCAAAATTTTCTAAGTATGTGTCAAAACAGGTAATTTATTATACAATAATAAACTTTATTATTAAAAATTATTATACATTTAAGTTAGTATATTATAAATGTTTTCAATTCCTAATTTATTATACATTATTTATGGATTTGTATATAAATATTGTATAAATAATTTAAATGATGTGATATTTTAGTAAATAATATTTGAAATGATATATTATCTATACTATAATTATTTAGTTATTTAATTGATGTATTTGAATGATATGATTGATATTTGTTTGTTTGGACACAATTTATATGACATTCATTTGAATACCTATTGAAACTGTGAAACACAACAACATATATATGGACTTCAATAGCGATACGATTGCATCCATATTGAAGACCACATCCAATGAAATATTTGTCAATTTGTTAAATAAAGTAATATTAATAATCATTTGATTAGTTTGTAATGATTTGTATTTCAAAATAATTATATACTATATATATATTTATTTATTACCATCAGATCGGCGGCGATAAAGATCTCGTATTGAGTCCACAATTGATCTCAACTTTTGATCAGATATTTGGTTTCACATTATTGAAGGTATTTCTTATCACATCAAAGACTCTCTCTTTCTCTCTCTCTCTCTCTCTCTTTCTCTCTCTTTCTCTCTCTATTCTCTCTCTTTCTCTCTCTTTCTCTCTCTCTCTCTCTCTCTCTCTCTTTCTCTCTCTCTTCTCTCTCTCTTTCTCTCTCTCTTCTCTCTCTCTCTCTCTCTCTCTCTCTCTCTTTCTCTCTCTCTTTCTCTCTCTCTTCTCTCTCTCTCTCTCTCTTTCTCTCTCTTTCTTTCTCTATTTAATTAAAAAATAACGATAATATTTACTGTTTATTATTGACCAAAAAATTAACTAGAGTATTTTTTAAAAATAATTTATAATAATAAAATAATTGACTTCATTTTTAATTCATAATACATTATCAATACTATGATTGAAAATTATTAACACATAATGTAATATAAATTAATTACATAATAAAACACACAAACATAAATTGATTAAAAAAAGTATTAATATATAGTTGAATATAAATTTTATAATATCAAAGCCTACCCTAATATTAGTATTTAAAATGAATTTTTATTATTTTAGTTGTAATTAATAGTAAACTAGTAAAAAAAATAAACATTTGATTGAATTACTAACTTTTACAATATAACTTACTTATAAACATTTTTAAAATTTTATTAATTATAGAAATAATTTTATAGTAAATATTCGTATAAACAATAAAATTATTAATTTTTAAAATTAAATAAATAGAAAAATGGTGTCCAAAAGATATTCAAATTGGATTCAATGGCTAAGAGTTTTAGTTCAAAAAAGTTAGTTACAAAAAAAACAATTTCTCAAATTAACTAATGTTTTTATAATTAAAAATTATTTAAATATTTTTATTAAAGAATATGTTTTGTCATTCAACCAATCATTTCTGAGACCCGATTAGTGGCCACAGCTATTACAGCGGACCGACAGAGAGGCGATGAAGACACCAAATATTGGGTTATATTTGTACCACAAAAGGTTAGATTTCAGTTTTTAGTCTACAAAATAAATATACAAAAATAATTAGTTTATTATAAATTTGTTATATTTTTTTGTACACAGAATTTCATGTGCGATGAATGTCTTGAGAGTGAAGGCATCTATGAATTCATAACAATAATGGACTTTCCATTGGGACTCATTCCTCTTGATGTCGACCTATTCTCACTTGAATTACCTCAGCTGTACTACAATACATTTTTGGTCGGTATTAACTATCAGTAGTACCAGAATAATGGGATTTAATATAACAACCATTTAATAGGATAATTATTGTCTAATCATTAGGTTGGAGACCTGAGTGGTGTCAATCATATCTGTAAAAGTTTGTCACAATTACAGACACTGATTGGTCGAATACCGAGGGCTTATACTAAAGGCAAATACGCCGACATTGTGGCCGACTATTTGCTTCAACAGTCAGCAAACAAGACAGAAGAATCGCTATCTATTGGTAATTCATTGTTTACGGATCTAATTCTAGTTGATCGCGACGAAGACTATGTCTCACTATTATTATCTCAATTAACTTATATGGGAGTTATGGACGAAATGTTTGGCATTAAAAACGGTAATTAAAATTAATATAAAAGTATTTTTTAAAATCTAAATAATAATCAATAAAATTCAGGAAAAGTTGAATTTGGTCCCGAAGTCACCAAAAGTGATGATAAAAACAATGCTAAACACAATCTATCAGTTGATCTCATTTTTGATGACATTAAAGACATGCCATTTTCATCAGTATTTGTTAGTCTTAAAGAAAAGGGTCAAAAACTGAAACAAGTATATAATAAAAGCCATACAATGGATATAAAGGATATGAAAGACTTTGTTACTAATCAGTTAAAGGGTCTCCAAAATCAACACAAATCCCTTGTTTTACGTGAGTTTATTAGACATTTATAGAAAATTTTTATCATAAAAAGTCGTTTTTTGCAAATTATTACAATATATCTGTTATTTATAGATATCAGCGCCTCTGAGACCATTATGGAGAACAAAAAGGAGGTTTGTTTTGCGGAACAGTTGACTGTTGAACGAAATCTTATTGAAGGCATCGACACAAAGGCGAGTCTCGAGTTTATTGAAGAAGGAATTATACGACAATTTAGTGATACTTTATCTTTAAGACTGATATGTCTCTATAGTATAACACAATCAGGAATATCAACTAAAGACTATCAAAATCTGGTTAAACTATATGTTGACAGTTACGGTCATAAACACATTTCCGTATTTTTCAATTTAACTAAATTGGGTATAATTGTGGAGAACTCGTCGCCGACGTTCAACATCCAACAAGTGGCCAATCCTCGTATTGCATCCAATATGAGATCATTATTGTTGCGCCCGAACGATTCGTCGGTTCGCAAATTTCGGCAAACCATAAAAAAATTGAATCTAATTCCACAAATTGATGGCCAGGCCTACGATGTCCGTAATCCGAAAGACTGTGCCTACGTTTTCGGCGGCGCTTACATCCCATTAATTACACGAATTGTTCAATTGGTTTGCGACTCGAAGAATAGCAACGAAGAAATTAATCGTCTGCTGAACGGAAAGTTTGTTAATCTTAACCAACGAATAGATGCCACAAATTATGCAAAACTGATGCCTATAAAAGTGATACTATTGTTCATAATCGGCGGCATCACCTATGCAGAGGTAGCGGCAGTTAGATTTCTGGCCAAACAATTGGGAATTCAGATAATCATTGCCACCACATGTATTACTAATGGTTCGCAATTTTTGAAACAATTGATGCCATCAATAAAGTAATAGTAGTAGTAATAAATAACAATAATTATTGTTATTAATAAAAACTAATATGTTTTATATGACATAATTGATAACAATATTATAACTTATTGACCAATAATATACCTAATATAATGAATTTATGTATATTTATAAAGTGCAATATTGGCATAAATGTGTTAACGCATTTGATAATATAATATAAATAATTTATTATTGTTATTACTGATTATTTATTTTTTTTATCGATGAATTGGTTTATATATATATTTTTAAAAATTATAGTTACCATTTACTATAATGCCATATAGCGTTCATTTATTATATATATTGTTGAAATTTTTGTTGTTGATAAATGTACAAATGCAACAACAAAAAACATGGTAAATAATAAATATAAATACTGTATATAGTTTTATATAGTTCTATACAATTATATAAAATATGTGCAAATAATACAGTAATATTTTACTATTAATGTTGACAAATAAAATATTTGGTCACTTTTAAAGTAATTGTTTTTTTGGTTTATTTATTTGTCCTAAAATGTCATTCTATATAGAATTTGGTAATAATTTTTTTTATTTCAATTTTCAGAGTTTTAGTACGATTTGAGATTTAGGTTTTATTAGGACAAATCAAATGTTAGTCAAACTTTTTTTACTGAAAACAATTAGAGAGTGAAAGAGAGAGAGAGAGAGAGAGATATTGTATTGAAATTTATAAGCTTTTCATATGGGAATACAATAATGATATAATATAAGTAATTTAGTTTTGAAAGTATATTTATTTTATTGCATGAATGACCAAGGTAGTCTCATGGGATGATTATACTAAGCTATTATTAAACTATGCAAACGTTTGTATAAATTTGAATAAAATAGTGCTTTATTTAAGTTTTCATTTTGGAGTATACATTAGTTAGAAAGAAAGAGAGAGATAAAAAATTATATAAAATATTCTGCAATAAACATAGTCAATAAAAAATTAATATAATATATAGTGTTATTATAAATATCAAATCATACGAATGCTTGATGTATTCAATATTTATGTTTACACTTGTTTTGTATAATATTTTTAAATATTTTATTATTAGTGAATCAAGGATTTTTTTAATGAAAATTTATTATTATTATTAATATTATTATTATATACATACTTTTATAATATTCAAAATGTATCCTATTATTGAAATTTAAATTTAATATTTTTAATGTAAAAGTAAATATTAGTCAAAAAATTCTCTTTTAAAAATATATTTAAAAAATTTATATATCGCAGGAATTATAATTAATAATTTATGAAAACAGCTATTTTATATATTTTGCTTTTATGACAAAATACTTATATTTAATAATTAACGAATTTATACATCTAACTGTATATAAATATATGTATACTCTATAATATAAATGAAAATATTAAATATTTTTGGCAGTAAACATGTAGTTTGCATATGAATTATATTAGAAAATATTAATGTTATGTACAAAAGGAATTCACATTAATCTCAGATTTAAACTAATATATACTCAAATTTTATATACATATACATACAGTACTTACATATATAATAATATTCATAATTTTTAAAGTTAAAAGTATCTATATATATATATATTGATATATAAATTATATATGAAATGTTGTTATATGCGATCACTCAAACAAGTTTGCCAATAATATGTAAAAATTCTGTACATGTGTTATAAGATTTTTAATGCTAATAAATATAAAAATCTGATGATATCTACTTTTTAAAACATTTTTTCTATCTCTCGTTTGAAATCTTGATATAAATTTATAATACAGTATAAGTTTGATATAAATGGTAAGTTTTATAATATTAAATGAAAATGTTGTTTATATTAAAAACCATAGACATATGAGAGCTGCTGTTTCTCTCTTTTTCTCTATTGATACTTATTTTTGTTAAACATACAGATTTATTATTAAGTCTATTTTGTCTCCATAGCGATGCCCACATATAGACCTTTTCAATGCAAACTCAAATATAAGGTACTGTATGTTTAGTTTGTTTTTTAATGTTATATAATACCAAATGCTGTACTAATACTACTTTGAGTTTTTGAAATTAGAAAACAAGTCGAGAAAAATAAGTTATAATAAAATTTAATTTGGTTTGTGTTGAATACTATTCATATAACATCTATTAGATAAATCTCTCTCTCTCTCTCTCTCTCTCTCTCTCTCTCTCACTCACTCACTCACTCACTCACTCACTTTACTCTTACTTTTACTTACCCACTAACTCCATGTGCGCCCTACCGGAGCTATTGATGCGATCTTCCAATAATAAAATTCATTTGACATTACCTGTACTTTACTTTTATTTTATTAGATATAGAGAGTGAACACACTTTCAAATTTGTGCTAAAAAAACTTATACTTAAAGGCTAACCAAACTCAATGTGTATATACTCTACTGGTTATATATATATATATATTATGTCATGTATTGCTGAAAGAAGATTGTCTCTCCATTTGTCAGTACTGTTGTGTGTGTGACCTACCAGTGCACTGCTCAGGCAAACATCAATTCATCATTAATTTCATCAATCGTTTCTTATTTTTACTTTTTTTGTTTCTTCAATACATTACTATTTATATAATTGAAAAATATATGTGACTATAGTATATGACTTTACTGAATATATACAGTATATATATATATATATAAATTATATTCTAACATAAAAAACAATTTGTGTGTTAACACCAATTACTTTATAGCTTTACTTCTAACATAAGTTTATTGCAATTTTTATTGTTATTTAATTTTACGATTAATTTTATTAGAATCATATAAAATATAATCATTATTTTTTTTGAATTCAGATTAACATATATCATGTACTGTCAAAACACATGTGTGTATTGATTTTTAATGTTTTAAGTCAGTGTTATCTTTTCTTTAAAAAAAACATTTCAATTTGATATTTGTATTAAATATATTTAGAAAAAAAATCTTTTCAAATACTTTTAAAATTTACTATAGCTTACATACGGAATGTGCAATAATATTATATAGAATTTATAGCTAAATACTACACTACTAGTACTAGTAGTATAGTATTTATAAATAGTAATTCAATCTATAATAATAATAATAATATTGAAGGAACATATGGTTCTACTCTTTTAAAAGTTATCCTCAATTTAGATCATTTTGAAAACTTTTAAGATGAACAAGAAGTGCTCACAATTTGTTATTTCACTATAAATATTATTATTATTATTATTATTGTCACTTTCAAACAAAACTACAATCTCTCTCTCTCTCTCTCTCTCTCTCTTTCTTTAAATGTTTTGGTGCCAATCACTATTGAAGCGGAAAGTTATTTTTATTCAAACAACACATTTATCTCGTTGTCTACAATATAATCAAAAAACAAAAAATAAAGCCACGAATCCTAATAATTATTGTATTTTTTTTTGTTTCTACATTTAACTCTCGACTTCCAAAACTGTAAGTATATTTTATTAAGAATAACAATAGTTTATAATATAATAAATATGTTATATTTTTAATAATGTATATTTTTGGACTCGAAAAACAATTATCATAATTAAAGAAACAATTAAATTTATTATATTTGAAGGGGTAATTAAATTGATGATTACATGATAAAAATAAATACAATATCATTAATATAATTAATAAAAATACTATTTGTACTAATAGTTAATGCCAAATAATCAAGAATATACAGCAATATTTATATATTACAGTAATATATATATAACTTATATATATATATAAGCAATTGTAGACTAATATTATTCATATACCGGTAATGGTTTGTCTATAGTGTATGTGACATAAGGCCAGACAGAGTGCGCAAACTTATTATTATACCATACAATATGTGTGAGTATTGTATATGTTATCACAACATAAGCAAAACATAGAGAGTACTAGTTTTTATTATATAAGGCGTATGCCTTCAAAAAAATTAGTCGATGCCTTATAACTGTCAATTGCAATGGCAAAACATGCCTGTGCCGATATCAACACATACATACATAAACACACACACACACACACACACACACACACACACACACACACACACACACACACAACATAACAACAAATATGCATAAAAAATAAATACCAACCAAATTGATTGCAAAATTACAAACATTTTTAATCCTCTGAATTATTTAGTTGCTATTAATGCTAATAATAATAATAATAATAATAATGTGTGCTTTTGATGGTTTGCAGAATCGGGGGATTCTGACGATTAAATTATTGTACTGAACAGTAATGTCTGTTGTGTTTTGCAAATAAGTGACATTTCAGTGATATTTATAAATAAATATAATGCAAAACTAAATACTAAATAAAATATGTCAATAATGTATACACCACTCGATATCAACATTATTACAGAATATTCTTTATTTAAATAAATATATAGATATATACATAAATATATATTTAATTCCGTGTGAATGCAATGTTGTGTTTGTTTAAAAAACTTTGTTATCAACCATATTATTAAATATGTATAATGTATTATATTATTTTTATATTTTGTACTATTTATACAATTTTCAGTGATTGATTTGTGAAAATTGTATTTAAAACGTGTTATAAATAATAGATAAATATATACTGCATATGTCTATAAAAGTCTAAAAAAACATATGAATATTAATTTTTTTCTGCAAAACACATATCAACAGAATCGACAGCAATGAAAACAATTGCTATTTATATACAGTATATACACATAATTTTATTACTAATATATTGCCTCAATGTTTGTATGTTTGCCTAAATAGCCTAATGATGTTATCGATTATATAATAGAAGCTTAAAAAGAAAAGTATTATTATTATTGCCTATTATTACAATTATATAACAAAAAAGTCGTTAAACATGTCAGTAGTGATGGTAACACCGGCTGAAGAGACGCGAACTACTACTTGTAATACAGTGGCGAACACACAGAATACGGGTCTGACTCCCAGTCTCTTAGTCAACGATAGCATCACTTCAGCCAATAATAACAATTCAAACCCTAATAATAATAATAATAATAATATTAATACTAATAATAATAATAACAATAATAATAATCACAATAATAATACCAACAGTAATAATAATAATAATAATAACATTAATATTAATAACAATATTATTAGCATCAATAACACCGATAGTAACAGCGGATCTCTGTTTCCGAAACAAAGCGCAAATCCATTACTTTTCGGACGAATGCATTCAGAGCCGGAAAGATCGTTGCCTTTGGTTGAGTTTCAACCGCTGGAACTGCCAAACGATCAGTCGTTTAATCCAAATCACAGGTCGTGTCCAGAAATCAGACCCGAAATGAAGAATCAACGCATGAATTCGGAGGACGATCCGAACTGTCCGAATAAGATGCAAAACTTGTCGTCTGTGGGCAACAAAGTAGACATCGTTTGTGGCGGCAATTACGGTGCATCGGGGGTCGGGACGGCTAATGACCAAGTCTTTCGGTTTCGCGGCGCGAGAGTGAAGCATCATCTGTGGCCAAGTCATGCGCGCAATTTGTTGTCATCACGTCTTGAGCACAGTTTTCTGACCCGAACGGTGTCGCGCGAATCGATGAGACAGTCGACGCACGCTCTAAACTCGTGTTGCGAGACTCAGCCCCTAATGGCCACTATATGTCATTCCAATGCTAATTATATTCCGTGTGGAAACTGTGCAGTTGGGTCATCATATGTTGGGTCGACAGCGACTACATGTTCACGGAGTGCGTGTCCGGGACTGCGACCTATGGTGGACAACGAAATCGCAGAAATCGCTGCCGACTCCATGAGAATCAATGGAGCTCTGCGTCAGTTCAAACAACTTCGTAAACCAATCAACTCATCGACCCTTTCCATTGTGAATGCTATTAAAAACTGTTCGGTCGGATCTGAAAACGAACCTAACGTTCCACTAATGAGTGTCTCAACTGAACAACCATACAATCAAAGATCATTTGCATCAAACAGTATTGATAGTGAAAAGAAAAAGAGTTCGTCGGGAAAGTCGGGCTTTTATAAGCCAAATGTCGGCTACCGATTGGGCCGACGGAAAGCACTCTTCGAGAAACGCAAAAGAGTTAGTGATTATGCATTGGTTATGGCATTACTCGGCATTGTTTTGATGATCATCGAGAATGAACTCTCATCTTCTGGAATCTACTCTAAGGTTTTTATTACTTTTTTTTGTCACTTTTTTGTTGAAAAAAAACTAAATTTTATTATTGTTTTAATAATTTATACAATAATTTTTCTTATTGTTTGCCAAAAAAACACAATGAGTTAGTTATGAAACAATCAACAAAAAACATAATTAAATATAAAATAAATTAATTGATTTTTAGTTTTATATAGAAAAATAATAATTATATAATACATATTATCTAAATTTTTGTTGTTATTGTTGTTAAATTAATCTGTTTTTTAAACAAATATAATAAATAATCCTATTATAATTTTAGCGTTTATGTAGGATTTTTTTGTGTCTAAAATAATAATAATACAGTATTAATAATTGCCTTTTTATTGAAAAGTTTATGCAAAAAAGTCAAACTAAACAAAAAAAGAGAGATAACTTAGGATAATATAAACACATTGTATGAAATATGAAAGTATGAAAATTATGTAAATATATACAAATAAAAACTGTTTTGTGTGTGAAAAAAATCGCTGACTATATTATTTGAATGGATAAATGAATCCATTTTTATAAATATCATATTATGTTTAATATATACAAAGAGTTTAGAAAACCTATAAATTTAGTTATATTTTTTGAACTATTCTTCCTTTTCATCCACTGTTTTATTGTCATCTCTTTTATTACTGTTGTGATTGTTTTGAGGACTTTGTCTTATTTATATATATAATAGTATTACTGTTTATCCACTGAACTACTATAAAATAATAAAATAATAAAATAAACAAACATATCATATCATATGATTTAACAATAAGATTGAATATATTATAAATTCATTTTTTTAGCTTATCTACAAAAACTACTTATTTTATTATTATTATTTGTTTTACTAATGTATAATTTATTTATGAAATATATATTGTATTGAATATAATAATAGATAGTTTTTTTATTAATAGAAATCGATTGATTATTTTTAAAAAATGCTATTTAACATTTAACTATTAACATCACTACACGATATATATATAAATTTCTATATTATATAAATTACTGTAATTATAACAACTAGTATTGAGGATAATTTATTTCGTAATAATTTTATTATTACTATTAGTATTATTATTAATATTATCAGAAATTCAATATCAAAAAAATACATTCATCTAATCAATATTATTACAACTTCATAATAAAATATTACCGGTACTCGAGATAGTATTATTATTATTATCAGCAAATGCTATAAATCAAAATGTATTATTTTATTAAAAAACACATATACATACTTACTATTGATATTCAATATGACTGATATATATATAATAATGTTAAAATAAATCTATAATATTGTTTTCATAATAATTATAATCATATTTGAAAACTACTACAAAAAAGTAACATAAATTAAAAAAAAGTAACATAAAAATAGCTTTTCATTTTTATAATGTACTCCCACTAGAGTTGAAATACAAGTATAATATATTTAAGTGACAATACATTTAGTTATTTTATTTTATATACAACTCAATTTTGACAACTATTCCTATTAACCTAATTTTTGAGATACTTTTATAGTACTTATTATAAAACTTTATAATATATGTTTCAATAGATTTCTATTTAGTGTATTGCACTAATAAACAATTGTTTTTAAGTATATATAGTAGTAAAGCTAATCAAAAATAGTATTTTTATGTAATTACTAGTAATTAATTATTATTAAAAACTTGTCATTAAGGAGAATATTGTTTATTAATTTTAAGAGTTTTAATTTAATTTTATAATGGTTTATGTACTTTATATGATAATGATATGGCAATTGATGCTTATTTGTAACGCGATCTTTACGATCAACTTATATAAAAACATACAATACTTTTATATAATAATAATATAAATTTAATATAATATACCGTAAAACTGAGTACACAATGTGTGTGACAATCGATAGCATAAGACATTACATTACAATACATTACTACTTAATTTTAATTATATGCTAATGACATTAATTTTTCAACAAACAAATTAATTCAAACCAATTATTAGGTGTTTATCAACATTTTACTGTATAATAATAATCATCATTTGCGATGTTTGTACTCTAATTGTGTAAACTAGCTTTATAAATATTTTTTATAAATTAACACAATAAGTATTGTAGCGAAAAACGTTAATTTGTTATTTGTTTTTTTTGTGTCACTAATAAAAGTTGTTTTTTCAAAAATTACAAAATTTACATAAAAAGTACACAGAATTAGAAAAACAAAATTGTTAAAGAAATAAGTTTTATTTATTTTTTTAAATGAAATATATATTTATTATTGACTTATTATTTGAAATATTACTGTATTTTTTTGTTTAGCTTAACATTTTTGTCTACTATTTATTTAGTATTCATACAATTACCATTCACATTGTATTGTTGAATGTTATAATGATAAAAAAAAACATTTGCAATATATAATATTTATAATAGAAACATACGGTATATCATATATTTATTCATATAATTAATTATATATATATTTATTTATTTAATTTATTGCAGGCATCAGTCTATTCCTATGCTGTGAAAACACTTATAACGGTCTCAACACTAATGCTTTTGGGTCTTATAGTGGCCTATCATTCACTGGAAGTGCAGGTCTTATATCATATTTTATTAATATTCTTATTATTATTATTTCAAATAATAAATGCAAACAAATTTTAATGATAATTATTATTAATATAATTTAAAAAATTATTGCATTAACATTAATTCAATTTATATTAACTGCATTAAAATTTATTGATTATTAACATAAAAAGGGTCTTTACTTAGGAAAAAACATTAAATAAAATAGACTTATAAAAAATTATTTATATATATATATATAATAGTATATTAGCCTATATAAATAATATAATTATCGTATATATACTATACCGGTATATAACTATTATGTAATTTACATTTACTTTTTTAAAACACATTTTACATTTACATTAATATTATCGATGGCATTTAATTTAAGGAAATAAACTTAATTTAGCAAGGCAATAAATTTTGCAAATTTTTGATAAGATTTATAGTAGAAACAATTTATAATGTACAATTATATATAATTTTTAAAATATTTATTATGTCTCATAACGTTATATTTGAAATATAAATATCTTTTTTTTTAAATAAAAACAAAATAGATATTTAAATGTTATGTCACATTTAATAAATATGACATTTACGATAAGTAATATTTATATTTATATATATAAATTATAATTTATATACCGGTATATATACTGCAGTATAAATTACAATATTTATCCTATATAATTCAGTTTGTCATAAATTATTTTTTAATATAATATATAACTAATTAATTACAGGAACAATAGGAAAGGAGTTTAATTAAATGAAACATTAGATAATATGTAAATCAGAAAAATTTGTGACATATATTTAATCATAACTAATTTCTCATATCTGAATAACAATAGGGAAATATTATATTTGAATATGAAAAAGTATTTTTGTATAAATAAAATCATAATTAATAATTTGTTTGTTTGCATTACAATCATATACAATGTAGTATATTGTATATTATATTAGGGACTACCTAATAGTGCCAAATAAAACAATGTCTTTATTATTATTATAATAATAAATAGTTATTTATGATCGATAATTGTGTTGACGACTGGCGAATTGCGATGACATCCCAAAGAGTAGCCCAAATTGTGTTAGAGTTGATCATCTGTTCAATACATCCCATTCCCGGGGAATACTATTTCGTATGGACAACAAAGTTGGCCAACAGGGGCGGCAGGTTTAAGAGCAGTTCAGTTCCGGTTAGTTGTGAAAAATGAGACAAATTGTGAGACAAATATCTTTTGACATCTACTGTCACCACTAATGTAGGTTCCGGTAGATGTGGCCCTTTCGTTGCCTATGTTTTTACGCCTATATCTGATCTGTCGGGTAATGCTATTGCACAGCAAATTATTCACAGACGCCTCATCGAGAAGTATCGGTGCACTCAACCGAATCAACTTTAACACCCGTTTTGTCCTCAAGACACTGATGACCATATGTCCCGGCACTTGCCTTATGGTCTTTTTGGTCTCCCTATGGATCATCGGGTCGTGGACTATGAGACTATGCGAAAGGTTTGCATTTCTAATAAATAAATGTTTTTTTTTTTTAAATAAATATAATATTAATAGAAAAGCTATCAAATATAATTTATATATACATGTATGTAATGTAAATGTATTAATATATTAATGTTATCATAACTACTATGTCTTATCGAAAATGTTATGTTAATTACTAATATGTTTTTTGCACACATAAACATGAATTGAACATTAAAAGATTAAATGATATTTCATATTTTTAAATAATTTCCTATTTTAAAAAAATGTACAGCAAATATATAATTTGCTTTAACTAATTATTTTTATCTATCAAATAACTAAATATATATACCATATTATATATACCGTATACCAATATGAGAAATTTTAATTATAGATTTTAAAAATATATATAATTTATTATCATTACTTCATTACTAATAGATTTAATGATTTAAAATCGTAGTTTAAAAGTGAAAGCAAACAAACATAAATATAAATAATGTATTAAACTTTTGGTTGTCAAACAAACAAACAAACAAACAAATGTTAGTCTGAAAAGTTTTATGTCAAACAAACAAAAATAATAAAATAATAAAATATTGATAAATTAAATATACAGTAGTCTCTCTTTCTCGCTCTCTCTCTTTCTCTCTCTCTCTCTCTCTCTCTCTCTCTCTCTCTCTCTCTCTCTTTGTGAGACAATGTTGTAAAAGATAATGCCTTACAAACAATACAATTGTCTCTTGATTTATATGATTTTAGACGTATAGCCAGGAATTTACGCTTTTAATATTATAGTCAAATGCCTTTTCTGGTTTAAATAGATTTATATTTTTACACTTTTTTATCACTTTTTTCACGGATCTCTGAGACAGTGTCTTCACATTAAATATCAATAACCGGCAGACAGTTTTGCAGTGCTTTTTTCATACACGACTGGATTGTGTTACCCTTAATATTAATAATAATAACTGGTGTGTACAGTATATCTATCATTAGCGTACAGCTGACTAACCTTAATGTATCTTTTTAACCAACTATTATGATAATATTATTACTTAAACACAGAATATTAGATGAAACAGTGCAAATGTATGAAAAATAATATTATAAAAATAATCACTATTTTATTGTTATAAAGCTATTTTTAAGACAAAACCCTCTCTCTCTCTCTCTCTCTCTCTCTCTCTCTCTCTCTCTCTCTATTAGTGGTGAGCAAAACGATGTCTATTAAATTACTTACAAAAATATGCCATCGGTTTTAATATATAATATACTTAAATATATAAAAGAATATTCTGTTAAGTAAATTATGTGCGGATATATATATATACTGCAGGCTAACTGCATATACTTTACATTACTATTATAAGATAGCGATGTGTTTTATGTCAATTGCATAACATTACTATAATAATCTTTAAATATTATGAACCATTAAATTATGATGTCGTATGATGTTGTTGTTGGAGAAACAAAAAAAACTTTGTGCAATATATTAGAAAACTGTAGTATCATAATCGACTATCATGTTTTATATACTCATTTTAACTATCATTTATTATATTATACTATAGTATTATACTATATTGTTTCAAATATGTTATGTTCAGTATATGTATATCTGCTTAAAGCAAGTTTTATGGTTATTCTTTAATGACATATAATTAAAAATGATTGTCAAAACTTTTTTATATAGATATATATTTTGCTTTTCATTTTTTTCATGAATTTAATGAATATATATTTTTTGTTGTTTCATAATAATAATAACAGAAATCATGATGAGGCGCACGCAAACCTATTGAACACAATGTGGTTAACAGCCATCACTTTTCTATCTATTGGTTACGGGGATATAGTTCCCAATACGTAAGTCAAATGAAATATTATTATATGATATATATTGTATTTATAGATATATATATATTTAGAAATTTTTTCTTGACTATTCAATAATAAGCTGTACATAATAAAGGTTTATGTTTTTATTATTAAAACATTCCTCACAAATAAAATTAGTTTCTCTCTGTATATGTATGTATGTCTGTGCTGTACTGTATGTACTGTATGTACTGTATGTATGTGTGTGTATGTTTGGTGGTTGTTTTGTTTATGTTGGCAATAGAGAATTAACTATTATTATATATAAATTATTATATATATTTATTTATAATCATTTTTATAGGATAGGAGAAATTTTTAGACTCATAAAAATAAATTGACATTTATAAATATAAAGTATTATATTGAATAGTATGATAAATATACTTTTTCTCTTTATTATAATATAATATAATTGACTTTCTAGTCTCTGGAAAAAATAAGAATCAATACTTTACTTATCTTTATTTTTTTATTATTATTTTAACGATTATATATATATATATATATATATATATATATATATATATATATATACAGATACTGTGGAAGAGGTATAGCCGTGTGCTCCGGACTCATAGTAAGTGAAGTTTATTTGGTTTCAAATTATATGTATATATATTTTATAGTCAAACAATCAGTGCAATCAACAACAAAAAAATTTTGAAACTCAAAAATTGGGAAAAAAATTCAGAAACAGAATATTCAAAAGGGATAGTTATTTTTTGTTAGGAATATATTATATTGTACTGTATATGAAAAATATGTTACTATGAAATATGATTTTAACAAAGAGAAAACCTATTCAGAAGATTATATAAATAGTTTTATCGATTGAAAGTTTTTTTTGTTGATTATATAGTAAAAAACAAACTTTTACGTTATATATATATTTTTTTATCAATTTTTACTTGAAAAAAAATTTATTATAAAAAACTAAAATAAAATAATAATCTTTTATATATATACACTACGCCATCAGTATATAAAATAGTGATTATCGGCACAAAAATTGCAATAAATACGAGCTCGCGATTCACTTGAATTGTCAGATCTATAAAAAAGTTATAATTTAACAAAAAATAAAATGTTAATCAAGTTTTTAAAGCTTAACAATATTAAGTTCAAACAACAATGGCAATAACAAATATATGGGTAAAAATTAAATTAAATTAAACTTTTGTGTAGAGTTAGACAAAACAAGTTAGACATATATTATATATATAACATATTAAATTAAACATTATAATTTAATACAGTACAATTGATATACGTTTATAAAATTGAAATAATAGTTGTTGTATTTTTTTTGGTTTTGTTTGAAATGTAATATTATTATTGTATTATTATTATTACTACTATTATTCTTTTATTAGAGACCAGTTATGATTAAATAATAATAAAAATTTGTAATTCAATTAATAGGGCGCCGGCTGTACGGCACTGGTAGTGGCAGTGATAGCGAGAAAATTGGAGTTATCCCGAGCAGAAAAACACGTCCACAACTTTATGATGGATACACAGCTCACTAAAAGAGTATGTATTTTACTTGAATTTTATTTTCTATAATAAAATTTTATACTTTTTTTACAATAACTCTTTTTGAGTAACGATTTCTGACTCTAATTTTTAATTATAATTTCAAATCTATTATCATATATATTATATAAAAATTTTTATTAAATATATTATATCACTCAATCTGAGTTTATAATTCATTGGTTAGCAAAGCGTATGATTAAAACTTTTTAGTAATTTAATTAATATTTTTTTATTATAAATATTATTAAATTATTTACTAATGTCTTGACTAATGTATGACATTATACACAGTATTATTATTATTATTACTTACTATTACTGTATATGCTGTAAGTATATTAAGTTAATCAAAAGCAGAAAATTTGTTATTTTTGTTGATTGTCTGTCACATAATATCTTAAGGCATTTTTACAATATAATCACAAAAAATAGTTGATTTACGTGCATTTTGTCGATAGTTTATAATATAATATATAAACTTTATGTAATGTAACCACAAAAAATGTATTCAATATATTATTTTATTGTCTGCCACTGTCTACAAACAAGTTATGTCTACCCTTTAATATTTACAGATATAAATATATATAAAGTATATACTATGCCATTATATTGTATAAACTATAGTGTTGTAGTCAATAGTGTGTAAAGCTTTATATATTGTGAAAACAAATATTGATAAGACATTTCGATATATATATATAAAATAAATATTTCATTACATCATTGGATAAAAGTGATGCTTCAATAAATTGACAGAAGTCTAGGAAAGCCTTACAATAAGGAATTCCATTAAATATTATATATAATAATATAGAATATTCCTAGAAATGTAGAAATATATATACAAGTAGTAGATATTACTTAAATAGATAACCATTGATAGGTTTCAGATATTGTCAGTGATTGTCTGATATGTCATTCAATAGATTGGTTACCATTAGTCGGTACTCTTCATACAATTGACCGCAAATTTATAGTTAACTTTTCCGTTTATATATATATGTTTGACAATTTATAGTTCTCAACTAATTTTATTAACTCAATATACAAACTAAATTTTATCATTTCAAGTCTATCAATTCAATAGATGTATACAACTATTGAGTTTTATTAAACATTTTTATTTGTCATGAAATATATTAAATGTTCTGTTATGTGATGTAAATGGCAATTTATACTGTTATTTAGGATATTTAATGTTCAATATTATATTAGAAAAATTTATGATGATAAAAATGAATCATTTTAGTATTAAGTATTTCAATATTATAGTATAACTATTTTATTTTTAAACATATTTTAGTTTAATAATACTAATAATAATAATTTTTATAATAATTTATATTCATTAGATCTTAGTTTATTGAATTAGAATAATGTATTTTATTTTATTTTTAAATCATATAAATTGAATAAAGTAGGGTATTTATTTTAATTTAAAACATTGAATAAATTAATAATAATAATAATAATTTACAGTTATTTAGCTATAAATTTTGTTTTCTACGCTAAATAATTGTAAATTTCATTTATTAAATAATTTAATATTTTTCAACTATTCTTAGAGTGAATTTCATATTTGTGTTTTTGATATATTACTAAAATATTCTATTAGTCTATACTTTTAATCCCTATTATGAAATTCATATAACAAAACATATATTCAATAAATATAGTTATAATCTTTTATATGCCATTATTTTCAAATACTGTAGTTACAATATATACTACATACAGTATAAATTTATATACTGTATTTCCTAACATTATGTTTAATGCTTGAAAATGAATTGATTTAAAGATCAGTTATCCTGTAAGAGAGAGAGAGAGAGAGAGAGAGAGAGAGAGAGAGAGAGARAGAGAGAGAGAGAGAGAGAGAGAGACGGAAATTTTAGATTTTTTTTTAAATAAAAAAGATTTCCATAATAGATAAACAATTTGTTTGTGACCTATTTTTAAGATATTTAAACATAACAGTTAAGTATACAAACTATTAATATATACAGTAAAAGCCATTGTAAATGAATTGATTGCAAAAAATAAATAAACAAAAAGTAATTCTTAGTCTGATTTTATTGATTTTTATATTGAAAATATCAATTCATTTAAAATAGCTGTATTGTTGAATCTCTCTCTCTCTCTCTCTCTCTCTCTCTCTCTCTCTCATCCAATTTTTTCTCAATGTTTGCCAAATGGACTAAAGATTACTATTTAATGGCTTTTGCAATAACATTATTATTTGAGTGAAAAAAATAAGAGGCAAAGTCTATGTATTTTACATTCAATTGATATTATATTCCCAGTTATATTCAATCGTTTGCATCAATTTTTATTGAATTTATTGCCTCTTTTCTCTTCTCTTATATAACTTAAACAATATTCTAACCGTTCATTCATTGATATTTTCAAAATATATTTCAAAAATGACTACTCATTGTTGTTAACAAATTTATATAAGACATACAAAATAGATTATCAACAACTTTTTGGCTTTTAATTTGATTTTTTGTTGTTGCATATCATATAACATTATATACTGTATGTACAGTATATATCATATATGAAAGAAAAAACTCAGCAATTTGTAGAATTAATTTTTTTGATTAAAGCCATATATTTTTATTTTATTTAATTGTCTTCAATCAACCAATTAGCCAATTGCCTTGATTAGTTGTTATCTGCATTTAAACAATTTTAACCCATCAAACATATTAGCCCACACAACAAATAAAACAATTAAATGAAAAAAACAAACAAACAAAATTCTACAATAATTACTTTATCTCTATTGACACTATTATTTGTTTTAACTGGTTATATATATATATATATATATATATATATATATATATTTATATATATATATATATAGCATATAGTATATACTGTATATATCACTTTTTTTTGATAAAATTAATCTGAAATTATTGTGTTTTAGTTGAAGAATGCTGCGGCCAATGTCTTAAGGGAGACCTGGCTCATCTACAAGAATACCAAACTGACCAAAAAGATTAATACATCGCGTGTACGGACACACCAGAGAAAGTTTTTATTAGCCATTTATAGGTATTTCCTTTTTAGTTAAATACCACAGTATTTAGTCTTGTATTTTATTTTATATAACAATTCAAATACACAAAAAAAAACAACAAAAACTTTAACTATTATTACCACTACTACTACTACTACTACTACAGTACAACACAATATCACATAAAAACTGAAATTACATTTTTTGACTTTTATTTATTTATACTTTATATATTGTTATATATATTTTTTTCATTTGGATTTTTCAATTGTATTGATTTGTTGTTGATGTTGTTGTTATTATTATTATAGCCTTAGAAAAGTGAAAATGGACCAACGAAAGCTTATGGATAACGCCAATACCATCACCGATATGGCTAAAGTAAGAGACAATCAATATCATACTGTGCCAACAAAACAAGCCATTAAAAGCTATATATATATATATATATACAGTATATATACGATATATATCTTTTTAAGATATATATCAAAGATAAAGATCGCTAAATAGGATGGACTGAGATTTCTATAGGGTTTTCCACTCCCATGCGATATAAAAAGGATATATTTCCACTACAGTATAAGTTTTTATAATACAAAAAAAAGAGAAAAGAAAAAAATGATGAAAAATAACTTTTGATTTATAGACTATCGACTAAAATCTTTGATTAAAGTGATAGAAAATAACACAAAGGTTTTTTAAATTTAATTAAATTACATTCATTTATTATAATTTATTTTACATTATAAAAATTATTTTGCACTTTAAGTACACAACTACTAAATTTTGTTGATTATAGTGATAGATGTGTTAACAATAAGTAAAATATTGATTTATAAATATTATATATAAATTATATCTTAGAGTATAAATCCTTATAAACATGAAAATCTTGTTAATGTTAACCTATATATATATACAGTATATATACGGTATATAAATATATTAACATTGAGTGATAATATTGGTGATCAATATATTTGGCGAGATTTTATTGGTTTTGCCAGTTAAACACTTACTCACTCACTCACCCGCTTCGTGAAACAATTTTAATGTAATGATAGAATAGATGGACCGTTAAGTGACTTTTCTGATCAAATCAATTAAAACCTAAAAGAAGACAAAAGTAAAGGAGATTTTACGCAAAATATTTTAGTTAACTAAGCGATGCATTAAATGCATTAAATTTAACCATTTCTTATTGTTTGTTGTCTTTTATTTATTATTATTATTATTATTATTTTGATCCTATAATTATTAGCTACAAAACAATGTCTATGAGATAGTGTCCGACATAAACGCCAGGCAGGAGTTGTTAGAGGAAAAGATGATTACTATGGAGGACAGGATGTCATTGATTTTCGATCAAATTGAAGCCCTGCCCGACCTATTGGCCAAAGTTATACTGCAAACCCATTCGGGACATCAGGCGCTCCGGACATCATTGCCGACACTCGTCGAGAATATCAATGAGAAAAACAATACACAACTACAGAATTACAACAATTTTAACAATAATCCAACGGATCAGTCGTCACAAAAACATACTTATCTTCATCCAAACGACGCTCAGGCAGGTCGGCCCAGTTGGTCGGCCTCTAATCTGACGTCGCCGGCCACTGGCGGCCGACAGTTTCTTACGCCAACTGTCCTGAGAACCAGTTCTGTTGATACATGATTTAAATCTATTATTTAACAAATAAACAAAACAATTAAAAAATTAAAAACTTATTGTATATGGGATTCTACACAATCAAATTAATTAATATTTTTAATAAAAAAAAATAATTGTGTGATTTGTTGACTAAAACAAATATTTCACAAATTTAGATATTATTACATGTATTGTATATAAATTAACATTTATATATTAATATATATATATATATATATATATTTATTTATTGATAAATATTGATTGCTGTGATTCCTTTTAATAAAAAAACAACAATTTGTAGATTATATATTTAATATATATTTAAATAAGAGTTATTTGAACAACACTTCCAATAAAAAGAAAACATTTTATTTGAAACAAAAAACTATTTGAAACATATATTTCCTTAAAATATTAAAAACTCTGCCACAAAACTAAACATTGAAAAAGATAGGACACACATTCAAAGTGATTATATTATATATGCTAAATAAATAGACAACTGATGTATAAACAAAAAATTTTCATTTTTTAGATCCTTGAGTCTCCCTTTATATAAGTATACATTGTATGATAATGTATATATTAATAACTATAATATTAATATATTTTAATTTATTCTTATATTCAACAAAAAAATGTTTAGCAAAAAACTATTTGAATAATGGCTTTCATATGCCTTCTGAAAGTTGAACAATAATTAAAAGTATTTTATCATATTTTAAACATTTTATTAGCTTATTATTAAAACTTTTAAAAAATGTTTGTAATTATTTCAAAACTTGTATATAAAATGAAATATAGTTATCCAACAAAAATAAATATTAGACTAAACTTATTTAATTATATGATATTATTGTTACTACAATATTATTATATTTCTAATCATTTAATAAGAATTTCTTAAAAATTGTTGATAAACTTGTATTAATAATTGAATTTTTTAAAAATAATTATAATAATTATTATAAACTAAATTAACAAAAGAAATAATCAAATGTGTACATTATTGTTATTAACTAAAATCAATATATATCTAAATTAAGATAAATAATTATTTATACGAATATTTAAATTAATGTTATATTTAGTAATAATTTTAAAGACGTTTGCATTTTATTGATTACATTTTGTGCTGTGTTTTAATTTAAGAAGTTTATAATAAAAGTATGTTTTCATTATTATTATTATATAAATATTTTAATTATTTTTAAATAGTTTTGTTATATTATTATTATTATTATTTGATACAAAATTAACAATAAAAACCTTGTCCAAACATTGTTATAACAAATTTTATTAATATTATTATAATTAGTAGTAAATCCATAATAAATAAAACTATAAACAAACAAAACAGATATTTTTGGATATAATTGCAAATATAATAGTGTTTATATTGTTTTACATTTTACTTAAAATTAATATCATAATTAAAATATTTTAAAGCAATTAAAATAAAAATTTGTTTAAATAATAATAATTATCTAAATTTATTTTATTTATAACACAAAAAATGTTTATTCATATGTAAGTATGTATTCATATTATTGATTTTTTAGACAGTATAGAAAATTAAATTTATATTTTTAAAAAATATGAATGATATAAATAAATAGCTATAAATAAATAAATAAATTTATACAATAATGGTTTTTTAATCTTTATTACTTTTTAAATAATTTGTATTGTATTTCTAAATATAATATTTATTGATTTTTTATTAATTAAATTGCATTTATAATAAAATACAAAGTTGTATTTATGTTTCTCACTTTTTATTAGAAAAATTTGCTATAATGTTAATTTAATAATCAATATCAATATCATATCTATTATTCAGTGATTAGATTTATAATAAATTCATAAACTGCAATGCGCTAAACAAAATTGTTTTATACATATATTTATATTTAGTAATTTTTTTAATTATACAAATTAAATTAACTAAAATATATCATACAATAATAAATATTTAATGCATTAAACTACATTATAATTAATATATTTATAATAATCTAATGTTTTTTTTGAAAAAATTATAATTATAATACCAGATAATATTTTAGATAATAAACAATAAATTAAAGAATATTATTGTAAGAATAATATAATATTTAAATTCTGTATACAATATATATATATATAATTTTTATAAAATTTAAACACTATAAATGTTATGTAATACAATATGTTTGCAGAATTAAGTTTAAAAATCAATTTTTTCAAATTACAGTAATTTATGCCAACTTAATGCCGAAATTATAATAATTTTGCAAAATTGCATTTTCAACAAAATGTAAACTAATAATGTTTAGTAATCTAATTAATATCAAATTTATTATTATTTTTCTTGAGATTAAATATTTAAATTGTCGTAATGATTAACAATATAATTATTCTAGATTTCATTAGATTAATAAAAAAATATTTGTATAATTAATTAAATATTAATATTTAATGCTTTAAAACACAAAAATTGTATATTAATTGTATAATAAAAATTTTGACAAAAGTATTTGTATTGTGTAATAAAGATACTAAATATGTTGAATACTATTACTACATTAGTTATTATAACTTAGTTTAGTATTTATTAGTAATAATAATAATAATTAATAAAAATTTAATTATTTTTTTTAAAAATCATTTGTAAATTATAATAATAATTATAATAAAATTACCAAAATTCAAATGTAAATTAAATTTAAATTAATATCTATTAATATAATGGTTGTAATTACTAACAATAATAATGTAACACATGCTATGAATGGCCCGTTATTTTCAGTCACTGTTTATTAATAGTAAAATTTTATTGCAATGTTTGTTGAGTACACACACAACACGTGCTTACAGTTAAAGCACTCAAATAGCTATCAAAACATGTGTTTTGAAAATAATTTTTTTTGACACAAATTTATCTCTAAATAAGTGATTGTTTTTTGTGATCCGCTCTAAGACACCGAACAACATGAAGACCAAACCGGTGTCTCATAAGTTGGATAATACTTTCAAAGTAAGCATTGAATAATATGAATTGTCAGATCCGAGAGCTGATCCAATAAAATCCTAACTGTTTTTTGCATTATTTTTGTTGATTGTCTTATAGTTTGAGTCATTCAACGATCGCTTGTCTAAAGTGAATGTCTCGCTCTTACACAATGTCAAGAAAGGTGTCAACAATGTGGACATCGATGACAACATCACCTATTTTGCCATAACCTACGAAAAGTGGTTTGACCTTAACTGTAGCCAACACTTTGACGACTTGCGCCGATCGATCGGTACTATTGTTTCCGTGCAGACATTGCCACAGATAATCAACCGGAAGAATGAGTTGATTGACATATTGGTGGCTAACCTACAGATTAATGACAATTTGGCTAATGATGTGGTCTTAGAGTTGATCGTATCATTAGCTCGCGATCTCAACACTGATTTCTATGAATACTTTGACAGACTGTTTGCATCTTTGGCCGATTTGCTGAATACAACGGATACCGATTTGATTGAAAATTGTTTTGTTTGTCTGACATTTCTTTTCAAATATCTATCAAAATATATTAACAAAGAGTTTGACAAAAATTACCATTTGTTTGAAAAACTTCTTGAAAGCAAAAAGAGTTATATCAGAGAATTTACATCAGAATCGGTGTCATTCCTCTTAAGAAAGGCAAACAACAAGTCGACTATCATTAACACTCTGTTTGATAGTGTCATCAATAATCCAAAGCTTGTCGAAGGCATCGGACAACTGCTCTTTCAGACCATCAAAGGTGTCAACAAAAACTTTAACAGTTTTGGCAAATCTTTCATTGATTTGTTATTTGTTGAATATTATAAAAGAAATCATAAATGTTTAGATGAAACCATTGCCTATATGTTTAGGCAAATAATTGAATTTATATCTAAAGACAACTCTGAGCTCATATGGAAGTCGCTATTAATTGACAGCACATCCGAGACAATTGCTTTTAAGAAAGTGATACCACTTTTAAATTTAGTTATTGGATACAAAAATTGTCATCTAGTGATCAATTCAACAAAAGTGATCAACTTTTTAGCTAATTGTTTAGTTAACCATCAATTAAATGAAATCGACATTAACATTGTGTTAAAATCATTGAGTAATATGTTATTTAATTGTTACAGTTCTTTATCTACTGAAGACATTGAATTGATCCAATCAAATATATTTGTCAACAATCAGTTGACAATCGATCAGATCTCAAGTTTTGTGTCCAGTGTTTTCAATTGTTCACCATTTGAACGAATTATTTTGCCATCACTTTTGACATTTTGTAGCAAATATTTAAAAACTGATTGCTATGAATCAAATGACTTTCAAATATCATTAAAATTATTGACTGAATTAATACTAACAAAACGTCGGCGACCTATATATGGAAAAGATGTCAATACTATAGCAAAATATGTACTTAAATTTAGCGATAATTTGTGTCAAACAATGATTGATGTGATGACTAAAACAATTGAACCGAAGATATTATGGTCTATTTTGGTTTGTTTACCAAATTTTATACCAATTAATGATAAATCAAGTATTTCTCTGACAATTGCCAAGACTATTGAAGAACTTGAATCACGTGTCTCTTCCAGATATTGTGATAATCGATGGTTAGGTTATTGTTTGGTCGAAGCTATTATAGCATTAATTATTCTCAAGAATAATGAATCTATAGATGAATTATCACCGAAATTCTTCATCGATTTAGTTAATAGCAATCAACATAACACTGAAGTACTTCAAGCTTTTGATTTATATCTTTCATTTAATAAGTTGACTAATAAAAAATCTGTTGACATAACTATTTTGGAGTCGATTTATAAGATATCACTCGAGAAGAATTTATCATCATTTTGTAAAGTAAGAAGACTTAATGCATTACATTTGATGACATTATTTGATTTGCCTCGTCCTCCGTGTGAAGATCCAACTGATGTAAAATCGTTGTCAAATATAGACATTTGTTTCGAATCAGAACTAATACCAAATGATTTAAATCAATACAGAACTAAACTAAGAATTCTTCAGAATCTTGAATATCCATCGGTCAAGAAGTTGATCCCAATGAACACAATCGGTGGTCTCAACTTCGATGAGTTGCCCATTCATTACATGTTAGGAGTTCTGTACGAAAACCTATCGGTTTTATGGCAACCGATTCAACGACTTATTGAAAGCTATGCCAAGGGTTACGATAATAAGAGATCAGTTTTCGATATACTGTTTGCACATTTGACACAAACAATACAACTTATTTACTCCGATGATGTGTTTGAACCAAATTATTATCAAAATGATATCAATAATTATTTAAATAGCAAACATTGTATGAATAACTGTTTTGTAAATCATTTACCAAATCGACCCGATTATGTTAATCATAGGATACTTGTATTAAAAATTTTTGAATCAGTGGCCGTACTGGTTGAGCCATTGAATCGCGAATTGGTTCCCATTTTGTTTAACTTTTTGGACAATGAAATGATGTCGCAACTGATTTATGCTCACAATTCACGCGATGATATTAGCGGTGAAAATAAAAGTTTATTGATGGACATCGACTTAGTTGATGACGATTTCGATAATAATGATTCGGCGATTGAAACATCAAAATCAAAGATCAGTCGTAAAAGTTTGTGGAAAACCTTTTTCACTTATCTATCGATATTTGCAAAGTTTAAAAACCCTAAGGCTTTATATCGAGAGAAAGAACTTCTGGAGATTTATCTGAATTTATTGATTAGTCCCGACTCTCACCTACAGAAACACGCATTCAATTGTATTATATCCTATAAAAATTCATTTATGAACGACTTTAATGAAGACTTTTTGCGATTAATTGATGAAAAGACTTTCAAATCGGAGATTTATTCACTGATATTGAACACTGAAAGCGATAAAAATTTGCTACAAAATGAAAATCGCGAGAAGATTGTGCCAATACTCATGAGAATACTTTACGGCAAAATGATGGCCATTAATGGTACCAAAAAACACGGCAAAAATACGTCTGACTTTCGCCGTTCAATAATTTTGAAGGTATTGTCAGCCTTTAACCAGAATGAGCTGATTCTGTTTCTTGATTTTGTTTTTGCACCAATTGTTGAGTTTATTGGTCACGATTACCGTGATCTTCATGAAACAATTATCACCAATATTGACATCAAAGCGATGACACCATTACGCCAAATGCAAGCAATGATCAGAACATTGGCTTTCGTTTTGAAACATTTGGGCAATCATTCCGAAGCCGTCACTTCCTATATCTTCAAAGTTGTTGTCGTCGTCTCGACAATAGTCTCACACTTGTTGGACAATAAACTTCGACAAACAATTAATGATCACTCGGTTATCCGTTTGAAAGATATTCGTAGCCATTGTTTCAAAATTATTACGACTTTCTTTGAAACATTTGACGCATACAACTATTCGAGTGTCGAAATCGATGCCATCTTCGAGAGTCTTATTTGGCCACTACTGACACATCTGGACACAGAAAGTTTAACCACATCGTCACCATTGCTAAAATTTTTAAACAGAATGACCCAAAATTCCAGATATTTCAAGATATTAGCCAAACGACATCCCGAAGACAGACAATTGACACCGATTTCTGCAATTGTAAAACTTTATTCAAATCCTAAGTGTCAAACTTCTGTGATCACTGCTATCACCGATTTGTTTAATAATTTGCTAATTTTGGATAATTTTAGCGATTTTGATGAGAAAAACATTTCGCAAATCATTGTCAATGATTGTGATTTAATAATGTCTGTCGACGACAAAAATAAAGATGCAATCAGTTTAGGAACAGCTGTTTTGCTGCCATTTACATCAGATATATTGAACCGAATTTACGTAAGCTATGAAAAAAGGAAAAATGAGACGAAGGCGTCAAAGAAGAAGAAGAATAGCAGTTTCAGCGAACAAGAGCTTAATATTTTGTCGCGACTCAGCTCTTATGTGACCCAATCGGATGAAAGCTTTAAGTTAATCATATTATTGATCAATAGTATCGATATGAATAAAAATGACGAACAGAAAGAATATCATACCATTAAAGCATTGGTTCATTTGGTCAAACATCTCGATCACGATATTAACCACATTTTAAGATCAATGATACCATTATTTTCCACTATATCGAGCTGTTCCTCGCGACCAGAATTATGTGCTGCCATTGAAGTGTTAACACAAAATGATCAACAATTGTCAGAATTGGCAAAAATTATAACAAATCTCAACGCTTATAATCCAAGGTTTCCTGAAGAACCAGATTTTGCTAAACGTTTGGATGCATTCAAGACTATCAATGCAACGATAGAATCAATTACAAGAAATGAATTCAATTTTGACTTTATATCAATTATTTTTTATAATTGTATTCATTTTATTAAATCGTGCGCTGATTTGGCAATTCGCGAGTCATCTGTAAACACAATATCAATTGTATTGAAGAAATTTGAAGATTTTGATGATAACAATCTGTTCAACGAAATGGTCATTAAATTGCTGTTGTATTCAACAATAGCTAAAGGAATGAGAAACAAAAACGAGACGACAAGACACGAATTGATCGACATATTGTTGTCTATGATTGAAATCAATGGCAAACGAAATCCAGTTTTACAACAATTGGCTCTTCTTTGTAATAAAGAAGACGAAGAAATTGATTTTTGGCGAAATATTAAACACATTCAAATTCATCGAAGAACTCGTGCCTTAAATCGTTTGGCCAAAAATGAAGAACTCGTCAAATCATTGTCGCAAAGAATTATCATTGATTTCTTGATACCGTTGACCACAAATTTTCTAACTGATGAACAATATACTAAACACGCGGGACTTGTCAGCGCATCCACTGAGGCCATCGGTGTCTTCTCAAAACACATCTATTGGAATAAATATTACTCTCAATTAAAATATTATATCAATCTATTGATCCAACAAAAAGGAGATCAAAAAATCAATATTAAAATTATATCATCGATTTTAGACAACTTTTCTTATAAAACATTTTCGCAATCTAATGATTCAATTGATGACACTATTATTGATGATAACGAAGATATTGAAATGGAAGATGAAGAGGATAATGATAATGACATTGGAATGAAAATAAATGAATTGAAAGCAAATGAATTAATAAGATCTTATAATAAGATATACGATGCGATTGTCAATAATTTATTACCACTTTTGAACAAATGTTTGCATCAAAAATCTCAAATAGAGTTCGCCTACGACTCGCTAACGAAGGATGAGTTCCCAGAAAGCAAAGACAGTCACAGAATAGCCATTGCTTTGGCGATAATAAAGTTATTGAAGTCCATTGATGCCAATCCTCAAGTTATGAGGACAAACACAACGAGTGTTTTCTTGCGTTTGTGTCACTTCTTGCAGTCGAGAGCTCAAAGTATAAGAGATTTGGCCAGAAATACATTCGTCAAAGTGATGGAAACATTAGGACCCAAGTATTTGATGTATGCTTTGAAAGAAATGCGCGCAACGCTAGCAAAAGGATATCAACGACACGTCTTTGTCTATACAGTTCATGCTATTCTTTCGGGTCTTAAACCACAACTAAAGTCCGGTGATCTCGACAAATGTTTGGTAACTATACTAGAAGTCTGTACTTTAGAACTATTTGGTGATCTTTCTGAAGAGAAAGATGTCTCAAAGATAACGACTAAATTCAAAGAAGCAAAGAAACATAAGAGTTATGAAATTTTTCAAATATTAGGTACATTTGTTAGCGAACAGAGTTTACCACAATTATTGGTGCCATTAAAGACTACACTATCTGAGGCACAAAATCATAAAATTGTTAGAAAGGTATCGCAATGTCTCAGCAAAGTAGGACAGGGATTAATATCTAACGCAGCGCTAAACGAGAAAACATTATTGCTTTTTATTTATGGTTTAATGAATGACATGATTCCAGACTTGCGATTAAAAACTGAAGACAATAAAAATAATAATCAAAAGAAAGCAATAGTAGAAAGAGTCGATTCATTTATAATAGAGAAACCAATCTATCAAAGAGTTCATAAAGTGGCCAAAATTGGTGAGACCTCCAACTCTCACGTTATCATTGAGTTTGCATTAAACAGCTTCTTAGCCCTCATTAAACAAAAGAGAATGGAGGCCTCAAATGATGAACACCTATCACTTTTGGATCCATTTATTGAACTTTTAGGCAATATATTGGATGCAAAAGATCCCAAACTGACAACACTATCGCTTCAATCGCTTTATTTAATGTACACTAAGTTTGCAGAATTGCCATCATTTGGCAATCACTCGGAAAATATAATGAAAACCGTATTTGTTTTGCTTCACAAATACGCCTCGTTTGGTATCACCGACAGACAGGACGATAACGTCCAACTGGTTTTGCTATGTTTTAAGACATTAAGTTTATTCATTAAATATAGAAATGATATTACTATTAGCGACAACCAAATGACAGTTCTGTTATCATATGTTGACCAAGACTTGAGTACAGAGACGAGTCAATCGACGGTCTTTACAATATTGAAATCAATATTACATCGCAGATATCAATCAAAATCATTGCATCGGATTATGAAAAGAGTAGCCGAAATGTCGGTCACATCACAGAGCGATTCAGTTAAAAATAATTGCACCGAATTGTCAGTCAAATATCTAAACGATTATTTTAATGGCAATAATCTAACCAAAAGAATCCATTTCTATATAAAACATCTCGAGTATAGTGTTCCGGCCGGTAGAGAGTCTGCACTATACGTACTAAACCATATCATACCGACACTGACCTATGATTTTGCCCGAAAGAATATGAGCTTATTTTTTGTGGCTCTTTCTTCCCGATTGATCAATGAAACAGAAGGTCATCTCAAGAAACTAGTGGCAGATCTGATAATTAAGTTACTGAAAAAACTGACGCAAACCGATAGAAATCAGTTGTTCAACGATATAGTCATACCATGGCTTAAATCTTCATCACGTCTGCAAACACTGTTAGCCTCACACTTATGCTCTCTGTTTATGACTATCGAGAAAAATGATTTCATGAATAGGTTATCACATATTTTGCCATTAATTAGGCAACAATTAGATCCAACCAGATATGAATCAGCTGATGAGGAAGATATTACAAAGAGCTCCGATAGTCTAGTTTATCAACACATGAATCTATTTATAAAAGTAATGAAAGCTGATCCACAGTTTATTAAGAAAAGTCAATTTAGCGATGAAGTCAATACAATATTTGACTATATCTTAAACTATCATTTACTACATCCACATCTCTGGGTTCGTGTGATTTGTACACAAATTTTTGGTCAATTATTTTCGCAATACACCATTGAATTTTTGGCCGACAACGCTAATCGGCAAATGGACTCACAATCAGAGTATCTATTATCTGATACTAACGACAAATTAAGACAATTGACATCAAAATTTTGTTTACTTTTTCGAGACATTTACAATGCAGACATTATTAGCGAACAAATTATTAAGAATTTGGTTTTTGTTTCGCGATTTTTCATCTATTCATTGAATGACAATCCAAAATCACCGGACTTTAAATGGTTGACAAACAAATTGATATTTGAAGCTAAATACGAGTGGACTAATAGTCCGCATCAAACAAAAAAGAGGATCTGTATTATTAAATGGATGGCAGCCGTGGCCGTAGAGTTAGGAAGTGATCGATTGGCTAACTATTTACCAAATTTTTTGCCTATACTTTGCCGCGAAGAGACAAACTCGGATAATACCAGTAACGACAACAACAACAATGAAGTGACGGTTCTTGTAAAACAAGTGTTGCAATTGTTTAAGTCTATTATCGGAACCGAAAGGTTTAGCGATTATTATACGAAAGCCCGGACTAAACTGACACTCAAACGATTGGAGCGCAAGAAAAACGATGCAATTGAGGTGTGATTTTTAAATTGATTACTTATTTACTGATTATTAATTATACAATTATTTTTGTTTGTTTTTTGTTTTCATTATTTGTTTTACACTAATGACATCATTCAGTCGGTGACGGATGTAATACAAAGTGCGAAACGAAAGATAATGAAACACCAGAAGCTCAACGAATCGAAGAAAAGAAAAATTGCAAACTTTAAGTCAAGAAATTGATTTCATTTATATATATATATATATATTTAATTAAAAGTTAATTAAAATGCAATTAATAGTTTTGTTTAGTATGTATTTTATGAAATGATAAATATATTTGTGAAGATATATATTTTGGATAAAATTAAATTATTTTTTTTTAAATAAATTTATTAAAGTTATAAATTAAGTTTTATCAAATAATATCATAATTTATATGTATGTAATTTATATGTTAAAAATAGGTAATGTATTAATAATAATAAAAGAAAATAAATAAATATCTTATAAAAATTGTGTGTTTGTGTTAATAAAAATTAAATAATAATTAAAAAGTTTGGTTCAAATAAACTTAGGCTTTATTTCATTAATTATTTGAATGTTTTAAATGTCATTCACTCTCTACAATATACTATCGCTAGACGTTTAATACATTATTATACTGTAGTCAATACAATACAGTCAATACAGTAGTGTTGTGTACAGTATTATAATAACCGTTGAGACAGTAAATAATCAAAACTCTAGACATGCGCTCAATATTTGAAATTGAAATTTAAATATCAAAAGTATATTTCAAACAATAATAATAATAATAAAGTTTTATATAAACAATGAATAACTATTTAAATTCATATCATATTATTTTAAATGTATTTTTAACACGTGTTTAAACTTTAAACACAAAAATCAAAATATGTTTTGACTGTTTTGTTTTGACCACTAAATTGACATCACTTTTGACGGCTTACACACACTTTACCGAACCATTCATTCAAACGCATTGTTAAAACAAAATGATAACGTCTTCGGAGTTGTCGTCGTCGTCGTCGCCGACAAAACAATTAATTGGCCGTCAATTTAGTACCGAAAGTAATTTGTTGACCGATGACGATGATAGCAGCCAAGAGTCGCGGGAAGTGTCTTATATCAGATTTATGTCTTCATTGCCGAGACTTTGTTCGCCGACCATCTGCGGCACCGCTAACTACAAGACGCCCACAAAGAAGTACTCGCGAATGACACCATTGGATCAATCGTTCAATTGGTCTATCGATCAGATCGCTCAGTTGGATCCGTGCGACTTCTCTAACATTGAAGACAACTTTGACTTCTATCGAGACATCGATGAACGTATTGTCAGTAAAGAATTGGACAATGAAAACGAATGGTATTTTTCGCAGAAAAAGATAATCCCATCGCCTAAGACTCCCGAAAGATCGGAAAGAGTTGATCCAAGAGTTTTTACTGAGACTGAAGAAATGAGTTACTCTTGCGAGCAATCGTCGAGTGTGTCTGAATTGCGGTCATCCATGAGGTCACCTGAATATCACTCCATTAGTCCTAATGATCTATCTGTTGATTGTTTCAAAACTCCCTTAAATTGTTCAAAATCGAGACAAAAGAAGAAACTGTTTGATAAGGAAGAACGCCATTTGGTGGACACTGCAAACTCCCGATCGCCGAAAGACAGCGCTTTCGAGACAATTGACAGTCAAAACATGTTTTCTCCCATTTATTCTCCCGATTGGCGAAAAACTTGGTTATCGAGTCGTATCACACATTTGAGTCCCATTTGTTCAATGAATCCAAATGTCGTTGATTTGGATTTCTCTCACGATCTCAAAGAGTGTGATCTTAACGACCAACCGATGGTCAGTCAAAGTGAAGACTCCTTTTCCAATATGACGTGTGATATGTTATCAATTGAATCTCATGTCTTTACCGGAGATGAATCACCCAATCAGTGTCCACAACAACAACAACAACGTAATGATAATTATAAGAATAATGTTTTGAATCAATTGAATGGTTGTCAACCAAATCAAAGGTTTCAAACATATTTTACCAAAACATCGACGCCGTCACAGAAATTGTGACAATTGTTTTGTCATTATTTTAATTAATTAATTAATTAATCAAATTTCTATTATTACTACTACAGTATATTTTCATATATATAACTGTATTTTTTAACATTGATTTTATTTTCTCAAAACATAATTATTTATCTGATTATATTTACAATTGATTTGTTATATTAATTACTGTACAGTATATAAATGTAAGTTCATTTTAAATGTTTTTAAAATTATTTAAGTAAATATTAATTCAATTTAATAATTGTTATAATTCGGTCAATTTGTTATCAATTTGATTGTCAATACAATTATTTTTAACTCTTTTGTGTTAGAGATCATAATATCAATATTATACACACAATTTTTGACATAATTTTCTACAATTGGTCTTATAGTGTAATATTATATAAATAATAATTATTTTTTGGATTTATTAACTAAGTTATTAACTAAAATGATTTGTTTAGTCTTATGTTTCAATTAAACCGATTATTATATTTATATAAAAATATATAACTATTGTCTCTTTTTTTTTAATTTTTATATATCTGATAAAAAACATTTGTTATAAATTTTTGGTAAAACAATTTTTTGCAAAATAAATACATTAATGATTCTCATTTTTTAATTTAATTATTAATTTAATTAATAATTAAAAAAAATAACTTCTATGGCAAATAATTTATAGTTTTTACAATTAGATTGACGCGTATGGACTTGAGTTGATTTATTAAAAATAAAAATTTCCAGAAATATATTTATATAATTTAAATTATAATCTATATTTACCATAGTATTTATGTGTTTTGAAATAGTACTATAATTATAATTAATTATACTGTAATTATAAATAAGTAATTTATAAATTTATATTTATTTTATTGCATTCACGCTCAACAATGTATTTACTGGCTGTCTATAATATAGATTTAAGCCAATAAATTATATAAATTTATGAATTTAATTAAAATTTAGTTTGAATACTGTTTTCAACTGAATCAATAGTTTTCAATACAGCAATTATCAAATAAATGTCATAAATGTTAACAATTTATAATTATCATCAATTCATTATATTTTATTAGTGATAATCTCTTTTCCCGCACTAGTGTTTTATTGTCGACAATTAAGTTTAATTCATTGTATTTCGTTAAATATAATATAATACTGAAATCTACAAACACTCGTGAATACAATTAACAGTTTGATAGTTAATTTGATATTTAAATAAATTTGAAGTCAAAGTTTGCTATAGTTATAAAAATCAATTACTAATTGTATGAAAAGTTCAACCAACTAATTGATAATATGTCTGTCATTTATTATATAATTATTATCTTATTGGTGGCCTTAATGTCGATTAGCGGCGACGACAACCTCAATGCGACTTCTGGAGCACTGCCTGAAACTACCACCAACTCTGATGGTGGTAGTGATGGCAATACCTACTGTAGTTTAAACCAACAAAAGGCCACAGCCATCACAAATGCGTTTCTCATAAATTCTACGCTATTCTACTGTATAGCCGATGTGTGCTACCGGTCCATCATATCGGACAACGACATGACTGAACTGCCCGGCAAACAAAAGTCAAACATATTTCTAGAAAGTTTGTATTTTTAATGTTTTTTTTGTTTCTCACTCATATGCTAACCACTATCTCTCTCTCGCACTTATAGTCGATAGTAAAGAGTTTCACACCATCAACAGCTCATTTATGATAGATGACGGTTCAAAGCCTGCAGTGGTATTGCTTTTTGGTCAACGGGGAGGACAAGGAAAACGCTTTAGTTATATATTCTATCAAATGGGTGCCGATATGTATGCACCAGTTGGAGAAAACTATACAGAAATGCCGTGGGGTTTGGATAAAAATGGTATTGTAAATGGAAGTATATTTCTAAAATATACTAATACTGAGGAATGGATTTATGGCGGTCTGGCCCACAATCTTGTACATCAAAGGTTAATCATTTCGGCAGACATTACATCAAAGAATATGCCAAAGGTTTACGAAAGGAAAACCGATATCAATCATATTAACGAAGATTACGTTGATGTTGACGCCATCCGACTCTATGTGGCACTTATTTATCACAAGGGATGGACATACGGTATGGATGCAGACAAAAAATGGTATAAACTTACACACGATGGCGGAGCTGAAATGAAAGAAGTAGAAGAGGTAAGACATCGTTGAAACAAATTTGTTTAAATATTATTTACACATATATTCTAAACTACCTGTTCTTACTTTATCCTATACTGTAGTACTCGTTACACAAGTTCTTCAACTGTGATAACACATCGCCACTAATAACACCCATGAAGTCCAGCAGCACTGAGACTGCAATCAATAAAACTACTGACAGTACCGGTTCTGGTGACCAATCGTCTACTACTCCCAACTCAAAGAAGACATCTGATAAGTCATGGCTGTGGATACTACTAATAATAATCCTATTAATACTAATTATATTAGCAATCATTTGTCTGATCCTATGTTGTTGTTGTCGTTAGTAGTCATCAACTGTTGTCCTAATAATCATTGATTTCTTTAAAGTTATGAATTAATATAATATTGTAAATTTGATTTTTTTAGAGTCAAAACCATCGAAAGAAAAGCCTATACCTCTACAGTCACCACCAGCGGCAGTGACTACCGATCCTAAAGCTGCAGACACAGAACCCACGGATATTCCAGCCATACGTTCCGATGTCGACACCACACGTAGTGAAGCAGATTTGAAGTAAATTTTGAAATTGAAAACATTTTATTTGGTTATTATTTGGTAGGAAAAAACAAACATTACTTTACACACACAAAAAAATGATTTTTTTAGTTTTACATATCTTTCTATAAATTTATATTTTTTGTCAATTATTTAATGAATACAAATTTCAATCTTTATTTAATGTTTTTTTTGGATTAAAAAAGTTTTTAAAAAATTCATTATTACATGTGCATTGCTATTGCACTTTCTATTATTAATTATACTGTATATATATATATATATAACAATTTATAAATATTAATTAATAAATTACAGTTTTAATCTACATATATGATTAAAATATATATACTCATACAGTAATATGTTTTGTATGTTCTATAAATAATAATTCTAAAAATAGGAATAAGTATACATATAATACATACAAATAAAATAAGATAACAGAATAAAGTAACAGAATTTATCAATTAATTTCTAAACTATTCAATTATTTTTCATTTACAACAACAAAAATTATCAATTCATAAATTATACACATTTTAAAAATTTTTAAAAAAGTATATTTAATTCATCTTAGCAAATATATATATATTTAAATTAGAAAAATATATTCTAATTTTATTAATCAACATTTTACTATTAATATACAAAGTTTCTATAAGCAACCAAATATTAAGCTATTTATTAATAGTATGTTTTAATTATGTTATAAATATAGTGGTATTCAATGTATTATTATTATTAAATTAAAAATTAGTAGTAGTAGTAGTATTTCATATATACTATATGACTCATAGAATATAATATACTGTAGTTATATTTGAAGAAAAATAAATAAATAAAACAAAAAATATTTATTTAAAAAAAAAATTATTGAAAATAAAATTTAGTCGATTTTATTAATGTAATGTATTTTCTAGAAAATACTTTATAAATTATGCACTAAATAAAGTTAGAAGTTATATACGGTATAATGTTTTTAGTGTTTTCTAGAAATACATTACATTTATAACGTAATGTCAATTGTATGCAGTGTTCAGAATCAGAACTTCGGATTAAATTACGTCAAACTAATTGAATATTCGATACATTAGAATAAATAACTTATTTTTAATAATAATAATAATAATTCTTATTATTGAAAATTTGAAAAATAATTTTTGTTTTTACAAATAACATATTTATAAAATTTTAAAAAAAATAATTTTAATAATTAATTAGTTTACTAAAATAATATAAATTACCTGTACTTAATATCATTCAATAGTTGTTAAGCTAAAAAAAACACAAAAAAAACAAAAGTTTAAACTTTTTTTTTCTCAATTTTATTAAATTTATATCATTTGTAGTTAGAGTTGTATTGTTGTGTATTTGTGACGTACTCTATGAATGAATTATAATTTTCTTCTAGAAATTTCGGTGAAACGCATTGATCGAGTGTTTTATGTTTGGTTTGCCTTTAACTCTGTGTTGCCATTCATTAGTGCTTTTGAAGTACAAAAACCCATTGAAATAAATATTATAACAAAACAGTGAAATCACTTCATTATTATTACAACACCACTAATAACACACTGTTTGGACATTAAGTGGTTTTATGTCTTAACAGACAAAAGAAAAAAACAATTATAAAAGTCTGAAGACATTTAAACCGTTGTTATATATATATATCACCACAACTGGTATTATTTGATCCAAACAAACAAACATTCAGTTTATTGATTGGCTTTAACCGGAATCACTGACTCGACAGACGAATTTTGATCCATCGTTGAAACAAAACAAGAGTTGGGTTTTTTTAAAAACAATTCTTCACTAGTGGTCGCGCTATAACATCCATATCATCGGAAACTATGGTCAAAGAGACAGCTTATTATGATATACTGGGAGTAAAGCCGAGCTGTACGCCGGATGAGCTGAAGAAGGCCTACCGCAAGTTGGCCCTGAAGTATCACCCGGACAAGAATCCCAATGAAGGCGAACAATTCAAACTGATTAGTCAGGCCTACGAAGTACTATCCGATGAGAACAAACGCCGCATCTATGATAGCGGTGGCGAACAGGCCATCAAAGAAGGCGGTGTCGGTGGTGGCGGCAGCGGTTTCTCGTCACCGATGGACATCTTCGACATGTTCTTCAATATGGGTGGTCGACGACCCGAACGCGGACCAAAACGCGGTAAAGACGTTGTTTATCAAATGTCTGTGACACTGGAAGAGCTGTATAATGGCGCCACTCGTAAGCTGTCGATACAGAAGAAGATTATCTGTGAGAAATGCCAGGGAAGTGGCACTAAAAATCCTGCTGTAGGTCCCGAAAGGTGCAACAATTGTCGCGGCAGTGGTATGCAACTGCGGGTCGAACACTTGGGCCCATCGATTGTCCAACAAATTCAAACGGTGTGCTCGGATTGTGGCGGAAGAGGTGAACGAATTGCCGCCAAAGATCGATGCAAACAATGCGATGGAAAAAAGGTTAGCAAAGACAAGAAAATACTCGAAGTTCATATCGATAAAGGTATGGAAGACGGACAGAAAATTGCATTTACCGGTGAAGGAGATATGGAACCGGGACTTGAAATGGCCGGCGATATCATTGTGGTGTTGGATGAAAAAGAACATCTTCTATTCAAGAGAGTCCGTACGGAAGATCTACTCGTCAATCTTGACCTCACACTCACTGAAGCGTTGTGTGGCTTTCAAAAGGGCATCAAAACATTGGACAACAGGACATTAGTGTTGACTTCACTGCCCGGTGAAGTCATTAAACACGGATCAGTAAAATGTGTGATCGGTGAGGGTATGCCTCGATATAGGAATCCATTTGAAAAGGGAAAGCTAATTGTCCAGTTTTTGGTTGACTTTCCAAAACATATTGATCCCGTATTTGTGTCTCAATTGGAGAACATTTTGCCGCCTCGGCCTCAGGTCGAGATGCCCGCCGGTGATCAACCAGTGGAAGAGGTGACACTGATGGACATGGATATTGAACAGGAACGGGTACAACAGTCCCGGCATAATCCAGAATATGATGAAGACGGCTATGAACACTCACACGACCCACGGGTCCAGTGCGCCACTCATTAACATATTATTATTTTTAATTAATTGAATTTTCATTATTTATAATATATATTGTTTTATATATAAACACTATTACGGATTAAGTTATTATAAGTATATGGAAAGCCTTTTATTTCAATTACTATTATAATATACATATTTATATATATATATTATAAATATATTAGATATATTCAATTTTACCTTCTTTTTTAAAATAGTTAAGAAAATTTTAATGTTATTTTTATATTATTATTATTATTAACTTAATTTTCATTTTTACCAATTGATTGTATAAATCATTTGTTTTCCCGTTTATAGGAAATTTATAATTAAATAAATAAATAAAAATATCTAATTATTTAAGGTTTGTTATATGTATTACTATTTTCGTAATACAATTACGATTTGGTTGCTATTATTTAATCAATAGTATAATTGTATTTTTAATTTGTTTATAAATAAATAATTGCATCCAAAAATAAGTACCGGTAATTATTTTTTATTATTATCATTAATAATGTTTTAATACTAACTTTTTTTTTGATTGATTCAACAAATTGTACTTAAAATTGATTGTCAACTCATTTGAGTACACAAGAGGGCAATGATGTAACTGTTTGTTTCAATGTAAAGGTAATATATATAACTTACAAATACCTCTAAAAAACTTGATATTAAAACTTGACTATAATTATCATATAAATTATTATAATATTCACTATATAAATAATACTACTATATAAATATAAATGTATAATTGTTGACAAAACGGACTTTAATTGTTATATCATATACTATACTTATATTATAGTATATTACTTAATAATTTCATTCAACAACAACAACAATGTTTGATAAGTTTGAAAACACTATAATTTAGTGAATGAATCATTTTATTTAAATCTTTTGGGGCTTAACTGTAAAAAAATTGTAGAAATAAATGAAAAGAGACACAAAAATTTTCCAATTATAATTCAATTACCATTTAAGACTTTGAGCTAATAATAAAATGATATTTGGGATTATTTGGTCAAATATTTTCCGATAGAGAGAGAGAGAGAGAGAGAGAGAGAGAGAGAGAGAGAGAGAGAGAGAGAGAGAGAGAGAGATAACTGATAATAATTAAATGATTGGTATGTAGTAGGGGTGGGCATTCAGTGATGGTGCAATACTATACTGATAGGTCTCTGTTTGCTATTGTGTCGGTGTCTTTGAGTCTCATATTATTTTTTTCACTGTTGATGGCATTGGCATACAATAAAACACACCTTTGGTTATATGTCTTATCAGTGACTGATAGGTTTTTTTTTCTCTCTATGTATGTGTATATACGGCACACAAAACATATCTCCTGGACAACCAAAGTGCCAATAGATGGGAATGGTGTGTCACCGCACCCGTAGGTCTATATATTTTCGATGTGAAAAATGTTTGTCGTGCGTTACAAATACAAATTAGGGCTTAGATATACTGATATATACATGACTGGCTGGTATATGGCATACTATATGCCTTATGCTGTATGGTATGGACTGATCTGCCTGTGCTCTGGTGGCTGTGCTCTGTGTGCTCTCTCACTTTCCGATCAGTATTCGTATGCTTCACTCCAAACAGTCAAACAGTGCTCAAGTAGTTTGTCGAGAGGTAACAGTGCTGCTGATTGCCTGTGAGAGACCAAACTTTTTTTAATAACCATAATATCGATTCCCAAGCGATCTATCAAATAATGTTTTACAACTAATTGCTTCATTGATTCATCAAATAAAACGATTGAATCAATTTATATTTATTTATTTATTTTTCATTTGATTATTGATAATAATTTTGTTTGCATTACTTTTTTATTATTATTATATTATCATAATATCTCTTGTTGTTTGACAATAATAGTGTATTGCAATTGTTATGTACAGTAATATGCATATTATTATATGACATATGTATCTCTCACTCTATTGCATTCAACTTAATATAATATAATATCAATATTATTATTGAACGAGAAGTTCATTATTACTGTTATACAGAATTTAGTGTTTCGAGCGATAAAATACAATATAAAATATAATAAATGTATGAATGAAATGAATTTAATGAGAGTTTCCAATGGGTATGAATCACTACTATTATAACTTATTACTGAATCCACTGAATCATTGAAACCCAACTTTTTTTTTAATATTATAATTATTATTTCTCACATTTTATTCATATGCGAAAAATATAATAATAATAATACTATTTTTTTTTGATAATATATTCACAAAAAAATATATACACTGTATTTATTAACGACATATACAGTTTGATTTATAATTTTGAAGCCACGTATAACTCAAGTAAATGTCTATGAAATATTAAAATGAAATATTGTTATTATTTACTGTAAGTTTGTCACCCCTACGAAAAAAATGTCAACAATTTTCACCCATTAAACTTATTAATTGAAATATAATAATAATAATAATAATAATCTATTAAATTATGTGTAACTACAGACTGACTGTACAAAAGTGGGCCCAAAAGTTGCTACATATAGCCCAACAGCAACATCAACGACGAGACTATTGTATTAATAAATTTAATAATAATTTAGATAATAATAATGATTGTAATTATTATCACAATAATAATAATAATAATAATGCTGTGCTGACAAAGTGTGTAAATGGACATAACTTGGATGCCAGTGCCCTACGGGTAGTCCCAGTATTGGTGCCAATGTTTATGGTGAAGAATATAGTCGTCTCAATTCTACTACTTATCACAACACTAGTCACCAATTCATCGGGTATGTCATCACTACTAGAATTTTTCAAACTAATTTTAATACTGTATTATACTCTATCATATAGTACTGTCTGTATGTCACCTCTATATATATATATATAATCTGATAATTTCCACTTTGAAAAATAGTCGATATATATATATATATACAGTAAATGCCACTATAAAAGTGTTCAGACATTATTGTTAGACTAAATTAACATTTTATTTGTCAAACAATCCGACGATTAAATGGATTGACTCTCGAAAAGAAAGGAGTCATTGAATTCTCACTGAGATCTCTCTCTCTCTCTCTCTCTCTCTCTCTTTAATTTTCAGCCTATTTTGCTAAATATAAATTGTATGCACACATATAATATATTATAAATAGATACTGTATTTCAAAGCTATTATAATCATTGTAAACAGTATTATTATTATAACCGTATATAAATTATATATATATATATACAATACATATCAATAATACTAGCGCTTAGTATTGAAACATTTCACTGGGTTTATGTTGAGTGACTAAACATACATAAATTTCTATAAAAACACTTTAAAAACTTTAAATGCAATGTAATAATAGTGTATAACATAATATTTTTATGGGGATTAATAGCTGTGAAAAGTCTTTTTTTAAATGTTTCAAATAATAATAATAATAATAAATTATTATATTTTTTGAAAACTATTAACAAATGTAAATATGAAAAACATAAGTTCATTCATCTCCTATATATTGACTGACTGACTGATCATCACTGGAAGGAAACCTTAAACCTGATGTCTAATGTGATGTCAGATCGCCGTCAGTTAGTTTACTTGTGATTTATTTCTTAATATATATATATTTTTTTGAACGCATATAAAAACAAATCAATGCATAAATTTTGTTGTTTGAGACCAACAAACAAAAAATTATTTCATATGCAATACATGTCATCGATTATACTGTTATTTAGTATTGAATTTTATCGATTTTCGCAGTTTGTATCGAATTTTAATGCATAAACTTTTATAAAAACTTAAAATCTTATAAATTATTATTGCTATTTTATTTACTATACATATTGTATGTATATTTAACGAAACTATAAAGGTTTTGTTTTATTTATACATTATTTGAAGTTATATTTTTTCATAAAACAAATGAAATGTTTTGTTTTAAAAAAGTAAAGGAGTAATAATAAATTGGCTTATAATCTATGAAACGATAAGCCGATCCATTATTTATCAGATAAGTTATGTTTTTTCAACACAAAAAAAATAAAAAGAAAATAAGTTGAAATATATGTGTGTAATCCTTACGGCTTGTAGTAATCCTTATGTCATACGGAAAACTATACTATAAGTTAGTAAATGTATTTTATTTTTTGATAGTTAAATAATATGATATTAAAAAACACAAGTGATGTTAAATTAAAGTTTAATAATAGGAAAGAGAGAGAGAAAAAAAACAGTCTCTAAGTCTAAACAGATGCATAAGTGATACGAGATTAGTTGTATGGCATCAAAATAATACCAAAAAATTATTATTATTAATATATGATAATAATAAAATTATAATATGAGAGGACTGTTAATTTTGTTGGGGCCATATTATACTGTATACTGAGTTTGTTAGCAAATAACAAATTAAGCGTAAAATATTATCATCATATAATAATAATAATACAGTAATTGCTGAATATATGATATAACTGTTTATAAACATATGGCAGGCATTTCTCTCTCTCTCTCTCTCTCTCTCTCTCTCTCTCTCTCTCCCCTATCACTTACTGTTTCTAATAATATACAAACTTTCTATCTATCAATACTACTATTCAATGATGATATTGTGGTGGTTGTAGTTTCTGAAAATGATGCGCTCTATTATATACTTAAACTATATATTATACACAGTATAACTGGCAATCTAACTGTTATATTCATATATATATATAATATTTGGATATTATATTGCTCTATCATTAAGGTATTGCTTATTTTATGCTTTGCTGACCATAACGTTAAAATTTTTAAAAACAAAAATAGCAATTTTTATTTATTCACTGTATATTCATTATTAACAACAGTCAATATGTATGGTCTTTCCTCTCTAATAGGAAATTTCTATCTATCATATGAATTATTATTATTTATACAGTATATACAGTAATATTGATATATTGATAGACAGTTAGCTTTCCTCGACAATTAACATAATAAAAGATTCAACTTCAGTATACTGTATACTATACTATAAATTTTGTCAATCAAAAAAAAGTATTATAAGTTAGATATATTTAAAAATAAATTGCAACGATTTGACTATAACTTATAGAAATGACAACAAATGTAATTATTTCCGAAACTAATATTCAAAAATATATAGCATAGGTATGTATAGATTTATGTGGTTTTTATAGTGGATTTCCGACACCAGAAAACTACTTGTCTATCGCCGAAAGGGAACAGATTTTTGTTGCGGACAAAATAAAAATTGAATTTTAAAATGTCCTAATAATGAGTTGCTTTACATCTCATTAGTAATAGCACTGTTAGGTCGTGTGTGTGCTGACAGTGTCTCGTGCCTGACCTCAGGTCTCTACTATACTATATATATATATATATATATATATATATATATATATATCAATATATCAGTAATACCTTGTAGTGACCATAATGTGCACAACAAATGTCTCCTCAAACTCCTAACAAAATAAGTCAGTGCACTGTAGCGTAAAGTGAGACAGCCGTCCGTTCAACCGGTCATCCATACCATCCATACAAATACAGACACTCTTAAAACACATTGCACTATACAAGAGAGCAGGTGATACCTCAAGCTCTCAACTTATGGCGAGCGCTACCTAAGCCTCAATTGCATGTCGTATATATATATATATATACTATAGTATTATTGGTTTCAATTGATATTTTATTTAATAATATTGTGATAGTTTATTATGACTGAAATTAGTAATAATTTCATATGCAATACATTATTATATTTACTGTATGACAGCAGCGATACATAAATTGTTGGTATCTATTGGTAGCTATCAATTGTTTTTTTGTTTCATATTTGCAATATGTGCTCAAAATGCACCAACAAATACCACATATACAATAAAACTATATCATCTGTTATATATATAAGTGTGTGTGTGTGTTACTCTTTTATAATACAGTATAAATTTATATGTATTGATTTGCAATATATTTTTCAATTTACAATAGAGACACGATTTATATATAAATATTTTTTTATCTGTTTGAACAATAAATTAGGAGAACAGCTTAAAAAATTATACAGAATTTTCAACACAACAAATAAAATAAAACTGTATATAAAAATTGCGAAAATAAAAAACTTTTTTACTTTTATTTTATATGTCCATATGGTTACACATTATGCTTATGTTGCAAATAAAAATTACTTTAAATGTGTATAAAATTTATTTTAATTAACACAAAAACGTTTAACACTTTATTTGCTTTTTATTACTTGTTTTTATTTTATTTCGGAAATTTCTTTGAATCACAAAATAGCTGTATGTAATAAAAAAAATACATTACAATAATTGTAATAGCATTGTAATTACAAATGCTTTTCACTTTTTTTTTAAACATATTAAATAAAAGACAAAATTGTTTTTTAAAATGTTTATCTTATTTTTGTATCTTATTTTTTTCATTATTTATTTTCATTATTTATTTTCTTTATTTAATATTTATCTTAATTATTCTAGTTTTTTTTAATTTTCTCAAATAATATAAGGTAATTTATAAAAATACAAAATATTAAATTAAACAAAAATGTTTGACATATACAGTATTAATGAAAAGTAAATATCCATTGAATAATAATTTGACTGTTAAACTGGGCGTAAAAATATGAATTAATTAAACTTTTTTATTTTTATAAATAAATATAATATTTTAAAATATTTATATTATTTATTTAGAATTTATTGCTTTTTCAAAAGTTTTATTTTTTTGTATAATTAGTTTTTTATAGCAAATCACTAGTCTATCTGTCAGTCTGTCTATCTTTTGCTCTCTTAAGTTCAATAGTTGTTTGTTTGACTATATCTATGACTATATCGTGACTATGACTCTCATCTTATCGTTATTTTTCCGCAACCAATGGTTTTTCTTTTGCGATATATTTCCGAGAATTTATTATTTAATTTATATATTGGTTTGACTCGAGGCTAGCGTCCAATATCTGCCATTACATTACATTATATAATATAATTGTCCACAATTTACAACATTATATAACATCGTAAATGTTTGTCCAAATTAATGATTCGCAACTATATTTGCGCTATTATAGCACAATAAATATTATATATATATATAAGTAACGGTTTTTATTTATTATTGAATATAATGTAATATTGATATTTTATATGAAAAATGTCATATTATTATTAAGGAATACATTTACAGGCAAAGTGATTGCATTATATTATAAAAGCAACTTAAATGTTATGATCTAGTTTTTATGTCCAACTAATATAGTCCTTAATTGAACGGTTAGGGTGTAGTGATTCGTGTACTAAACAGATAAAACCGGGTCTTCAAATATCGTCAAAATAGTCATCTCTAACAGCATTTCAATTGTGATGAACAATGAGAGAGAGAGAGAGAGTTGGATGGATGGATGAATGGATGCAATGGGATTGTGCGGACCAGCGCTGGTGTCTCAAACCATTAGATGGAAAAGGATATCCTGGAGTGATGTTCTGTCAAACCGGAAAATAGACCGCTTTTCATAGCCATACCAGTTATAACTATTGATATATATATATATATATATATATATATATATATATATAAATACCTCACTTTTATTTCTATTCCTATATAAAAATGTTAACAATTCTCTATCCTTTCAGTAAATGTCTATTTATTTTTCAGAAAATCTTTTAAAAGCATATCTTGTTTTATATGGTGTGTGTGTATGTGTGTGGCAATGATTGCTGGTATATATATATATAATGTGTTTATGTATTGAGA